GAAAAATAATTGGCCTTTCGAATGCAATAAACCGTTATTCAATTGGTGCATTTGTTACTTTTTAACGGAAGTACGAAAAAAATGTAAAAGACTTTTGCATCAACCTAATATTTTTATTCTGCAATCCTAAGTAATTAAACTTCAATTTTCACGCCTTTTGCTCAAATTTTTAGCCGATAGGTAAGGATTTCTACAAGCTATTTTTTTTATTTATTTCTATGCGGTCAGGCTCAAGCCCAAGCTCAGACCCATCTTGTGCAACTTTTGAATACTTGAAAGCGACAGAGTAATAACAATCGATCGGATAGGAATCTTGTCTCCTAGTCGGTTCCCGGCGACTAGAAAGAATGATTCTTTTTCGCATTATTATAAGTTTTTCCTTAACAACTTTTGGGTAATAGGGGTAATTGGGGATAAAGATTTATAATTCCGAACTTATAGAGATAGGGAACCAAATTTGTGGAGATAGGGAACCAAGTTTAAAGAGATAAGCAACCAAATTTATAGAGATAGGTTTCTCTATAAATTTGGTTTCTTATCTCTTTAAACTTGGCTCCCTATCTCAACAAATTTGGTTCCCTATCTCCACAAATTTGGTATCTCAACAAATAGGAACTATAAAGTAACCAAATAGGAACTATAAAGTAACCAAATAGGAACTATGGGTTGAGCATAATTATCCGACTTTTATAAATGATTTTATTTAACAAAAAAAAAAAAAGAAAATATTCTGAGCATATTCACCGCCTACACAACTATTGCCATTTGCTGGAAGACGTCGTTCCACGAGCGAAGAATAAACGATCTTTGGAGGCAATCCACGCTTAACATCGTCTACAAGCCCAAATCGTTGTAGATCTTATTTGTTTGCCAATTTTTGAGCGATCGATTGACGTGGTAGTCCGTTGGGGCTCCCAGTTCTTTGAGATCCGAAACGACTCTGCGGCAGACCACCCCTTTTCGAAGTGGTAGAGCATAATGGCGAAGATGAGATATCACGAATTTTTAAAAAAAAGAATAACCAAATAGGAACTATAAAGTAACCAAATAGGAACTATAAAGTAACCAAATAGGAACTATAAAGTAACCAAATAGGAACTATAAAGGATTCCCCCTTTTTATTGTAATTCATTATTCGTGTCGAATAAATCTACTTTTAAAATTCTTTTTGATTCAAAAGATGCGATCATTGTTTCTAGAATGAATGCTAGAATGTTCCTAGAATGAAAAGAAAGCTGTTGCTGTTTCAAAAACGAGTTATAATAATAATAATAATACTTTATTCAAACGATAAAGTGAAAGAAATCATAGAGAAATGCACAGTGATACTTAATCATACAATACATACTGAAATCAATAAGCCAATTACTTACGGCAAAGAGCCACTAGATCTAAAGCATCGATACGTTTCTTGAATATGAAAAGCGACTGAATTTCTCGTATGTCGTTCGGGAGCAAGTTCCATAATTCTCCGAGTTCTCCTAATTTCTAGCTTTTAACAGTTTCGTTTAGCCCTGTCGCGTTTAGCTTGAGGTCAAAAACTCAATTGCAATTTCTAAAATGTTAATAATTTTAGATAAAGCTAGACTTTTCTTGTCGAATTGCTAACGAATTGCTAACGAATTGCTAACACAATAGCTTTTCTCTCTTTATCCAATCAATTTATCCAATTAAAACTCACTAAACTCACTAATTTCCCCTTTCTTTTGTCAAATTCATCTCTTTTTACCGTTTTTTTCTTTTTTTTTTGACAGTTTTTCTGTATTTTTCTGTATTCTGATTGCTGAATTTTCTCTCTGATTGCTGAATTTTCAAAAATCTCTCTTTCCAGTCAGAAAATCTCCCATTTTAAGCCAATTCCTCGAATCTCCAATTCCCGAATCTCCAATTTCCCAATATTCTTTCAAATCACAGATCTTTTCCTTATCATCTTTTCCCATATCTGTATGTCAATCTTTCCAAAAACAAGCATTCGACTAAGAAAAATTACCAAAACTCAACAAATTCTTCGATTTTTCGACTTTAGACTAACTTTTTAGCAAGTTTTTCGATTCGTCTAATATATTTTTGTTATCAAAACTTGTATAAAAGAGATTTTGAAATACAAATTACACAAAAAACCTCTAAAACTTCTCAAAATTCTCAAAAAAACCTTTCAAAAAACAACTTTTGACTAAGAGAACATTTTTTTGTTCTATTATTTTCTGTTAAAAAGTGATGAGTGCTCCTTTTTCTCTCTCGAAAATTGACTTTTCCGGAAAAAGTGTCAGGTTTCCTCTCTCTTTTAGCCTCATCTTATCTCACCTGACCCTTAAAAAAAATCACAACGAGTGCCAAGAACAAAAATCGTTTCCGTTTTTCTCTTTTGAGTTCGGATTGTGTTCGAATTTCGATGTTCGAAAATCTTTTACTTGTTTGAATCTTTTACTTTGATATCTCTGCAAAGTACTTTGATACTTTGATAGCTTTAGTTTCATTGAAAGCAACTTTAACAGAACTAGTAATGGATCAAAGGCCAGACAGACATTCCAGGCCAGACAAAAACCTGACTACAGAACCTGACTACAGAGCCTGGCTTGCCTACAGGCCATAAAAGTTCTTGGTCCCGCCTGAAACCAGGCCTAAACCTGGCTTCTGGTCCTAGAGCCTGGTTAGGACGGTGGAACAGCTCTAGAACGCCAGGATTGTTTCAAAATCGAGCATTCTGATCGAACCAGGCAAGGAGCTAAGGCTAGGAGCTAAGGCTAGAAGCTAAGGCTAGGAGCTAAGGCTAGAAGCTAAGGCTAGAAGCTAAGGCTAGGAGCTAAGGCTAGGAGCTAAGGCTAGGAGCACAAAGTACATTTTCAAAAAAATTTTTGTTTTTCACAAATTCTTGTTCTATTTTAGAACGACCCTAGTACTAGGCCAGTTTTTTTAAAAAAGTTTCCGAGCAAAGCCAGGGAAGAATAAGGCAACAGAAGAGGCTAGAATCTGGCTTGAGCTTGCCTAGCCTGACCTGGCTTTGCTGAGACTTGGCCCACAAAACCTCTGGCTAGGCCTAAATCTCTTGCTAGGCCTTGGCTTCTGACCTGGCCAAGTCTAGTTTACAAGTCTCAAGAGCTATACTTTACTCTGTACTAATATAACCATCATTTTCTTTAAAAAATTTATTTGTTTGTGCTTCTGTTTGTGCTTTTATTCATCTGATTCCATTGTTTTCTTTATCGATTTTAAATAAAAAACAAATTCTATGCTTTTTGAACTGTTTTTCTGCAATTTCGAAACCAAAGAAGCAAAAAAAAACGGCAATTCAATGTTCCAATGCTCTTTTTCTCGTTTGAGTTTTCTTCTTTTGCGAAAGAATCACGAATTGAGTGCACCAGAAAGGTGTGTTTCGGACATGCACAAAGTACATGCACAACTCCAACAAACCCATTCTAACCGTTTCCCCAAAAAAGTCTAGTTTATCGAAGATTAATCAAATCTTTTCCATTGTCTGCCCCGGGGAGACTCCACTTCATCTTTTCTTTCCCTTGAATGAAAAAAAAAAACTTGAAAACCTCAACCTCATGAATGCCCAATTCATGAATGTTTGCCCCGTTCGAGTTGTTTGCAAAAAAAATTGTTAAAACAAATAGGTCAGAAGCTTCTTCTCAAGCCACTTGTCTTCAACTCAATCAGCTCTAGTTATTCTAATAAAATCGAATGAATATTTTCGCTAGAAAACTCTTGTAAACCATCTAGCTAAGAGTTGATTCATCGACCTTTTATACGCGAGGCAGGACGACCTTTTATACGCGCTCCGCCCCTTTTTTGAGGAAGAGGAAGAGCTCTCGGAAGAGGAGGAGCTCTCGGAAGAGGAGGAGCTTTCGGAAGAGTAGTGCCAGACCTATAAATGATTTTCCATGATTCTGATACAATTTAACAGGTGAATGCATGACTCGATGTGTCAAATTCTTGAAGCTGATATTAAATCAAAAATTGAATTAGTGCTAGATCTATTGGTAGCTCTGACTCATCAATACCAAACCAAAAAAGTTCAAGTATTGACTTCAAATCAGGTCTATTAGAAGATGCTGGGTCTGTTGGAAGATGAAGATGGTCTATTAGAAGCTTTATTAGAAGATGCTGGGTCTGTTAGAAGATGCTGGGTCTGTTAGAAGATGGAGATGGTCTATTAGAAGCTTTATTAGAAGATGCTGGGTCTGTTAGAAGATGCTGGGTCTGTTGGAAGATGAAGATGGTCTATTAGAAGCTTTATTAGAAGATGCTGGGTCTGTTAGAAGATGCTGGGGTCTGTTGGAAGATGAAGATGGTCTATTAGAAGCTTTATTACAAGATGCTGGGTCTGTTAGAAGATGAAGATGGTCTATTAGAGCTATTAGGAGCTGGTTGTTGGGTGGGTCTGTTGGAAGATGAAGATGGCCTATTAGAAGCTTTCAGGCTGGGTCTGTTAGAGATGGTGGTCTATTAGAAGCTTTATTAGGATGCTGGGTCTGTTAGAAGATGGAGATGGTCTATTAGAAGCTTTATTAGAAGATGCTGGGTTAATAACAGTACGAGAATCGCTTAGAAATAAATTTTGATCATTTAAAATTGAATTTTCTTTTTACAGCTGCAATCTTTTCTAGAACTCAACTCCATTGAATGCCCATTCAATTCATTTCTCCTTGTTTTTCCCGTCCGTTCAAGTTGTTCCCTGAATTTTGATCAAACAACCGCTTCATTTCCTTGCATTTTCCATGCTTTCTATTATTTCAAAAAGCTTTATTGCATATTTCTTTTCATTTTCATTCTCGTTCGTCATTCTTTTCCAATCTCTATGGAGATCTCTCTTAAAACCTTTTCGCCAAATTCCCTTTTCCCTTTCCCTTTTCCCTTTTCCCTTTTCTTGTTTTTCTTCTCAGCTAATCCTTGGTTACTCATTTGATTTTATTTAGTTTATTTTGTTTATTTCCATGTTTCACTTTCTCAATTCCAAATTTCAGGTTCTCTCGTTATTTTTTTGTTTCACGGGTACAATGGAGATGACAGGTTTTCGACATCAGGTTGGTTAATTGAAAAAAGACTGAATAAACGATCAACCAAATTAGCTAGAGCGAGAGCTAGCTAGATTCGATTTCTCAAATATAATCTTTATTCAAAGTTGCATTTCAAAGTCAAAGACTTACTCAATTTCAATTTAAAATCCATCTCCAGTTTAAAAGAGCATTGAAACAATCTTTTCTTGCAAAGCTAGAGTAGGCTAAAAAGAACGCTTGACTTCAAAGATCAAAAAGACATTAGATTACTGTTTTTTTTGGGTTTTTTGGGTTCCTTTCCTGGGGGTCTGGTGGGAGGTTCCTTAGATTCCTTGGGTTCCTTAGATTCCTTAGATTCCATAATTCCATAGATTCCTTAGATTCCTTAGATTCCCTAGATTCCTTGGGTTCCTTAGATTCCTTAGATTCCTTGGGTTCCTTAGATTCCTTAGATTCCTAGGGTTCCTTAGATTCCTTAGATTCCTTAGGGTTCCTTAGATTCCATAGATTCCTTAGATTCCTTGGGTTCCTTAGATTCCATAGGTTCCTTAGATTCCTTGGGTTCCTTAGATTCCTTAGATTCCATAGGGTTCCTTAGATTCCTTAGATTCCTAGGGTTCCTTAGATTCCTTAGATTCCTTGGGTTCCTTAGATTCCTTAGATTCCTAGGGTTCCTTAGATTCCTAGGGTTCCTTAGATTCCATGGGTTCCTTAGGTTCCTTAGATTCCATAATTCCTTAGATTCCTTAGATTCCATAGATTCCTTAGATTCCTTGGGTTCCTTAGGTTCCTTAGATTCCTTAGATTCCATGGGTTCCTTAGATTCCTTAGATTCCTTGGGTTCCTTAGATTCCATAGGTTCCTTAGATTCCTTGGGTTCCTTAGATTCCATAGGTTCCTTAGATTCCTTGGGTTCCTTAGATTCCATAGGTTCCTTAGATTCCTTGGGTTCCTTAGATTCCTTAGATTCCTTAGATTCCATGGGTTCCTTAGATTCCTTAGATTCCTTGGGTTCCTTAGATCCCATAGATTACATTAGATTACTGTATAGATTAACATAGAAATCCACAATTTTATCGCAATTTAGTCAGTTCCTTTGTCCATATGAACATCTCGAAACTCAAACAGCAATTCTTTGAGCAATTTCAACTAGCTTGGATAGCTTTAAATAGCTTTGAATAGCTTTGAATAGCTTTGAATAGCTTTAAATAGCTTTGAAAGGCTAACTATTATAGAAAAAGTAAAAGAGCTTGAGTTGAAAGCGTAAAAGATGTATTTGAAAAACGATGAAATTCAAGGTGGGCGGCCATTTTGGTCTCTTCGAGTGCACTGGCCATGTGGCAAAGCCAGTGAATGCGCGTGAAATGGCTTTCTATGAACTGCTCACCGACAACATTCGCACTTTCACACCAGCTTATTGTGGTCGGTTTTCTTAAAGATTAAAATCGATCAAGCTCAAGCTCAAGATCAAGCTCAAGCTCAAGCTCAAGCTCAAGATCAAGATCAAGATCAAGCTTAGGATCAGTTGTACAGCATCTGATTCATTTAGATTATCGTTGCCAATCTTTATTCTTAAATTATGCCTACTTTAGACTAGGCATTTCCTTTTGATGACAGAAAAAAACAAAATAAAAGATCTATTCTAACAATTTTGCATTGGAAATTGTTGGAAAGGAAACTCTTTGATTTCCAGGTCGTGTCTTGGTGTCGACGTCGATCTCGGAGAAGGGAGAGCTCACCCTGAGCACTCCATCAATGTTCGATTGCCATAAACGACTCCCGCACACTCCCCCATCCACATCGAGACCTAAAAAAATGCGATTTCGTCTCAAGAATGGAAAGGTTAGTGGGATTAAGGTGTTGAAGTGAAAGAAAAATGGGCAAGGTGCGGCCAAGGCCAAAGTCCAAAAAAAAAGGTGCGCAAATGTCCGGTTTTTGTCCGCAAATGTTTTTAGAAGTAAAAAGTAGAACCCTCAACCTTTTTTGCTTTTTGGTTTCCGGGTAATTGTCCTAACTAAGGAGCTATCCGTTACCTTAGTTTGTCAAGAGAAAGAGAGAAAGAAAGGGAGAAAGAAAGAGAGAAGAAAGAGAGAAGAAAGAGAGAAAGAAAGAGAGAAAGAAAGGAAGAAAGCTAACTCAGTTAACTTCTCCCAAATCAGCCGTCACCATATTTGATTTAAGATGCTTTTTCACTACGCAGCTTTAAGAATGGCTGAATTGGCTTCAATCGAGTCACTGAGTCGATTGAGGCCGACTAGATCATGAGCAAATTCCGTTCCGCACCTAATTCCATCCACCTTTATTTTCTCAGCAAGATCTTTGCCCAAATTTGATCAGCAAGACATTCTAGGTGATGGTCGATCTAGACAAAAACGAGAACACATTTGCCGGCGAATGTCAAGCGAAAGTTGTGCATCGATTGCTGAAAAATGGCCCATCATGGTTCATCTTGTTAGAGAATATTGTCGAGAATTTCGAGATGCCTTGCGTTTTGGATTTGAAAATGGGTAAGTATTTTGTATTTTGATAAATCTTTGACAACTTTTTGACAACTTTACAATTCAAACATCTAGAAGAGATCAAAGTAAAGTTTATTTCAGGTACAAGACAGCACGGAGACGATGCGCCGGCGCATAAAGTAGCGGCTCAGATGCGCAAATGCGCCGAGAGCACGTCAGCTCTTTTGGGAGTGAGTTTAGAAAGTTATACTGAAGATGCTAGCTTAAAGCTGCTAGCTTGAGCTTCAAACTGACACGGATTCTCGATCAGTACTTGTCATATCAACAAGTTAATGTTTGACAGCACACGTTTGACAGCACATCTTTGACAGTACACTTTGACTTTGACAGTACTTTGTACTTTGACACAAGTACTTTGACATCATCATTGAATTTTGCCTTGTTTGTAATCAATACTTTATTCATGTAAGCATGAAAAAGTGACAACGGAACATGTTTAATTGACAAAATGACACACAGGGGCCAGACGGCCTTCGTCCACCGGTGGACCGAATCGTCCCAGGGACCAGACGGCCTTTGTCCAGCAGTGGACCGAATCGTCCCAGGGGCCAGAGGCCTTCGTTCACCAGTGGACCGAATCGTCCCAGGGACCAGACGGCCTTCGTCCACCAGTGGAACGAATCGTCCCAGGGGCCAGACGGCCTTCGTCCACCTGTGGACCGAGTCGTCCCAGGGACCAGACGGCCTTCGTCCACCAGTGGACCGAGTCGTCCCAGGGCCCAGACGGCCTTCGTCCACCAGTGGACCGAATCGTCCCAGGGCCCAGACGGCCTTCGTCCACCAGTGGACCGAATCGTCCCAGGGGCCAGACGGCCTTCGTCCACCTGTGGACCGAGTCGTCCCAGGGGCCAGAGGCCTTTGTCCACCAGTGGATCGAATCGTCCCAGGGGCCAGACGGCCTTCGTCCACCAGTGGACCGAATCGTCCCAAGGGCCAGATGGCATTTGTCCACCAGTGGACCGAATCGTCCCGAACGTGTTAAGAATATGATGGGTAAAGCAGAGATCGTCTGGGTTCCTATTTTAGTTCTGATTTCAATCTAGTTTTAAATAATGAAGTTATTTTTAATATTTCTCCGCAAGAGTACCACAATTTTTCTTACATCAGCAATTTGGTGTTAAGTGATTTGAATTTGGAGTGAAATGAGATGAAATGACAATGAAATAACAATGAAATAACAATGAAATGACAACGATAACTGACAATGAAATGACAATGACATGAAATGAAATGAAATGACATGAAATGACATGAAATAACATGAAATAACAATAAAATGATAACGATAACTGATAATGAAATGAAATAACAATGAAATAACAATGAAATGAAATGAAATCACAATGAAATCACAATGAAATCACAATGAAATCACAATGGCAACTAACAATAAGTGCTCGAGAATCGTTTTATTTACAAATCTCTAGACGAAAGTTCTTTAAATCATTTATTTTAAATCATTTTTGATCATTTTTGATCATTTTTGATCATTTTACAACTGTAATTCAACTAAATAATATTATTTAAACTATTTAGTTGAAATAAAATGAGATTATTTCATCTTTGTATTCTCTAATCTTATTATTCTCTAAAATTTTCAGGTTCGAATCGTCGGCATGCAACTTTTTGACGGACCTTCTGGAGCGTTCAACTTTGTGAACAAACTAGAGGGTTGATTTTCAAGGAAAATCTTAAATCAAAAGAATTTTAGGCCGAAAAATCGATCAGCAACAATTCTATGACTATTTCTATCTCTATTTGAGAGCATGCGGGGAAAAGAGAGCGAAAATTCTGAAGAAACGCTTGGAAGCGATCAGAAATGTGTTGCTTGAGGCGGAAGGATTTAGGTGAATCTTGTTTTTTTGTAACTCTTAAAGGTTCAAGGTAACTCTTGAAGCTCAAGTCGATGGAGTCTTGATCACTGTCGAGTCAGTCTTGATGGCTGTTGAATCGAGTCATCAAGATTGACTGAATCAGTCTTGATCACTGTCGATCCAATCTTGATGGCTGTCGACTCCATCTTGATCACTGTCGAGTCAGTCTTGATCACTGTCCATTCAGTCTTGATCACTGTCCATTCAGTCTTGATCACTGTCGACTCAGTCTTGATCACTGTCGAGTCAGTCTTGATCACTGTCGAGTCAGTCTTGATCACTGTCAATCCAATCTTGATGATGCATATGACTGAATGCATGCAATCAATCTGGAATATCGTAATCAAAAACCCAAACTAATAGCTTAAAATATGGTTAGGCTCTCCTAGACAAAAATCTTCTCAAACTTGACTAAATACAGCTTTTCAGATTCTTTTCCTCGTCAATCCTCGTCGCATTTGATGCGATCGGTCGAGAGGATAACATCCGTGTTCAGATGATCGACTTCGCTCACTCAACTTTTCCCGGATTTTGTCAAGTGCGTGAAATCTAGTCAATGACAAAGGCAAAAAGTTTGCGATGCGATCGGTTTCCGGATAACTACCGAGTGTCCTTTGTGCTCATTCTAAACATACCCTTTCTACTCTAGCAATTCTTTTCCCAGCTCTTCCCTGCAAGAAAGCTGAGGAATTTGGTGCACCGGAAAGTGATTGTTTTCCGTTTTTGAGCACAAAGTACCGTAAACTTGCGTATCAAATAACTTCCATAAAATAGCTTTCATAAAATAAGCTATTAGGTTGGCAAGAAAGATTGTAGAAAAAGTTTGCAAGGTGATTTCTTAAAAACCAAAAAACTCGGGCCACATTCGGGCTTCAATCAAGGCCTACCATAGCCTTCAATCAAGGCCTACCATAGCCTTCAATCGAGGCCTACCATAGCCTTCAATCGAAGCCTACCATAGCCTTCAATGAAGGCCTACCATAACCTTCAATCAAGGCCTACCATAGCCTTCAATCGAGGCCTACCATAGCCTTCAATCGAAGCCTACCATAACCTTCAATCAAGGCCTACCATAGCCTTCAATCAAGGCCTACCATAGCCTTCAATCGAGGCCTACCATAGCCTTCAATCGAAGCTTACCATAGCCTTCAATCGAAGCCTACCATAGCCTTCAATCAAGGCCTACCATAGCCTTCAATCAAGGCCTACCATAGCCTTCAATCGAGGCCTACCATAGCCTTCAATCAAGGCCTACCATAGCCTTCAATCAAGGCCTACCATAGCCTTCAATCGAGGCCTACCATAGCCTTCAATCGAAGCCACAGCCACGTTTGAAAGCTTTTATCAAAGCTAAAGGAGTAGACATTGAGTAGTTTGTTTTGTTCTGTTCTTTAAAGTTGTTCTTTAAATACTTATTTAAGCTAAAATGTATGTTTATATAAAAAATTCTTTCTTGGTTTATTCTTTCTTGTTTTATCTGCCTAATTTGATTTGTTCGGGTAATTATGACGCGCTCTGTAAATGGAAAAAAATCAAAAGATCAACAAGTCAACAAGATCAACAAATGGCAACAAAATTTTCAGGACGCTTTGTATTATGGTGCCGACGATGGGTATCTACAGGGAGTGGAGACTCTAATTGCACAGGTGAGCATCAAATTTCCCATTGACAAGGGAAGGTCAACTGGATGTACTGTCCAAATGACATCAGCCATAGCCATCAGCCATAGCCATCAGCCATAGCCATCAGCCATAGCCATCAGCCATAGCCATCAGCCATAGCCATCAGCCATAGCCATCAGCCATAGCCATCAGCCATAGCCATCAGCCATTCGATGCAGAATTTCACGCTGAATCCGAATCTGCTTTCCGTTTCTGCTATGGAGCACTCTATTAAAAGTTAAACACGTTTAAAGGAGTTTCAAAAATCAAACCGCGACATTACACCCTCTTCCGCGAGCTCAGCAAATCGCCTTGCATCACTCACTCGTCACTGCGTAACTCACTACCACTCGGCCACCTCTGCAACTGCTGTGCTCGCGGAAGACGAGGGTGTAATGTCGCGGTTTGATTTTTGAAACTCCTTACAACTTTAAACGTGTATAACTTTTGATAGAGTGCTCCATAGCAGAAATGGAAAGCAGATTCGGATTCAGCGTGAAATTCTGCGTCGAATAGTCAGCACGTCGCACGAGCAGTCAGCACGAATAGTTTATGGCTCATGTCAGCACATCCAGTTGACCTTCCTTTGTGATTTATAGCAAATGGATATTAAGATTACTGTAAATACTGTAACAGTACCGCACTCCCATAATGACGGTGGGAGTGTTGCGTAGTCTAGCTTTGGACGCGTTTTTCTCGACACTCCTTTATGCTACAATGCGCGCTTAGGTATCAAAAAATAGTTGAAATTCAGGGCTATTTTTTGATACCAAAGACGCATTTTTTCAAAGTACAGGAGCTTTGAAAAATCAAGAAATACAAAGAAACTTTTGCGACTACGCGACTTTACGACTTTACTATCACAGTATTTACAGTAGATCTCATAATTTAACAACTAAATCTTCAAATTTCCCACTTAAATTCAGCTCGAATTCTTCTTGGAGTCTTTCCCGGAAACGCCCGAGAGTTGCGCGTCAAGATGAGGGGAAAAAAAAAAGACAAAACTTTAAAAAAAGACAAAAATCATTAAACGAAATATTCTAGTTTCTTTTCAAATTTATGTACGAATGTCCAAATTCCCGTACGAATCTTAAAAATCACTCAAAAACCTTAAAAAAAAGAAAGATCTTGATCATTTTTCATTTTCTAGAAAAAAAAACTAATCTCTAGGCACAAATATGAACTTTTTTCACCCTTTTCATTTTCTAGTCAATAATTTTATTGTATGCAAATCGTTAAAGACGTTAAAAACCCGTAAAAAAGACGTTAAAACCCAAAAAACACGGTTCGCTGGTCGATTTAACTGTGAAATGGGCTTTGTAAGAGGATCGAAGAAATAGAAATAGAAAAGTTAAAAGTTAAAAGTTACGGTAAAGAAAATGATTTGAAGTTACTGTAGAAGCTGTATAAACTGTAGAAACCATTGTTCACGAGTTCTAATACTTTAAAATTTGTTTTCACTTTCTTGAGCCCTTTACCGTAACTGTTTTACGTTTTACGGACCTGAGCACAATTGTATATTTCAAATTCACTCAAAAACTGATCACCCAGGATATTTGTCAGCTATTCATTTAGAATTCTTGTTTCCTCACCTTTTAGGCCTTCAAATTTAGCTCTCAAAATTGTGTGTTCGTGTGAAATTGATTAAATGTATTTATTCGCGTACTGTAAATAAATAAAAAACGAATTATGTTAATAAAAAAACTGAAGAAAAAGGTATAAACGAGAGTCAATACTCTCACCAAAAACGAAACCTTTTAAACGCGTTTATTTCTCTTTAACACAAAACACCCACACAAAAGCACATTTTAAGTCTTTGTCCTCGATTTTGTTGTCGTCGTTTCTGTGTACTTCCTTGCTCGACTGAGGTATTGATGCGCGAAACTCATCAAATCTCGATCTTTTGGTCCAGCTTCTCGAACGATTCCTAAAGCGAGTAAAAGTGAAGATATATAAAAAAGATTCTAAGATATTCTAGTATATTTAAAACTAAAAATAAAACAAACCATCAAAGTTTTTGTGATTTGCAAACCGCAAAGCCACAATCCCACTGGCTGTTACATGCAGAACGACGGCTGATCGTTTTCCTTCACCGGGTTGATCGGGAGACGAATGAATGGTGTAGATTGGCACATCCTTACATTTACATACCTGAAACAGAGAAAACGTTTGAGGTTGTCTAATAATGGTGTCAGATATTTGCCCAAAATGAAAATGTGTTCAATTTATAAAAAAAATCATTGAATTTAGATAAATCAAAAATAAGAATCACTCACATGTAATCCTGTATCGACAATATTCCGGCTTCGAATGATCGCTTCGATAAATGAATGCTTTGAGATGAAGTTGTCGACAGTTTTTGGATTGAAGAACCATCCACGGCCACCTAAATATAGCTTCGAGAGTAAATACGAAAGAATTAAGATATTATCTACGCATATTTTCAATTATTGATCTCTAAATATGTTACACCAAACACGGTTCAAAACCGACCAGGGATCTTGTGCTCCACTTCTGGATCCGGCATTGAAAAGATCAAAGCCGCTGGGATCGTATCCTCTTTGACTTCGGCCGCAGCTCTTTCAATTCCAGCGATCCCTCGCAAAGTTACCTAAATTTAAGTTTGCAAATAAACAAGTTAATAACCTACTTTTGGTGAAAAGCCACCATACACGCAAAATATTCGCTCGGCGACAACAGCTGCCAAAGCAAAGCGGCTATGAACCTAAAATATGTTGTTGAACCAACTAAAATCAAGGCAGCTCAAAAACATACTTCATTAGTGACCTCCGAGATGACATTGGCTAAACGTTCCGAGAATCGCGTCTCCGATTTTAGTCCATCCGCTTCCGAAACTCCGCGCATCAAGTAAATACAATTTGGATGACTAACCTGAAAAAGATCACTTAAACTTGAACTTGGAAATATTTTATTGATTAAAAGCACCTTTAATGCAAGAAGCAAGCAAAATGTTTCCAGCGATTGAGGCACTTTTGGATGAGTGAGTCCGCCGAGAAAGAGATATCTAAAGTAACAGATGTAGCACAACTTTTAAAAAACATTTTACCTTCTGTAGGGTGGCCATCCACATTTTTGAAAGATTCGGAAAAGCTGCCTAAAATAAGAAATGGTTAAAAAGCTAATTGTAAAGCTTACACATAATTTCCCTCAATCGATCCGACAACAATCGTGTTTGCTGGCAGATGCAAAAGACGCGGTTGATGTTCCAACACTTGTGTTGCCATATCAAAAAGGTTTGACATCTAAATTACATCCAATGACAATGACATCCAGCGCCAGTTAAAAGTTTAAGTATCACAGATGAAATCTACCTCAAGAAAGTCAAAGTTAAACTCAAAAGGTCCATGTTCAATCAGTTTTGCTGTGAGTCCATCCATTTTCGAGCTAATTTTGCGCAGAACCTAGATAACATGTTAGATAAATTTAAGTTCTAAACAATTACCTTTGAAAATGTTGTGTTGCAAATCCCAAATGTTAAAATCTTGTCCGGTGGGTCTGCTGTGAAGTCAGCTGTCTAAAAACACCTTGAATATTTCTTGCAACCATCAATATCATACCGGTATTTCAACTTTAGCGCTTCGTCGGCTTCTCAGTCTATTGATCACTGCTTGTAGATCTTTGTACCCCCTGATATCGGCTTGAAATAACGCGTTCGCATTGTCCTTTGCTCGAAAAAGAATTGTCTAAATAGAGAGTTTGGACCAATAAAACTAACAAACCTCAGCTTGTTGACAGTTAAACCATTCATCCTCAAGTACTTTCGGCTTCTCAATCAGCTCCATCGCACGTTCTGTATTTCGTTGCTAAATAGACTTTTGAAATAGTGCAAAAAATAGCAACTGACCCCCAATTGCAAGGTGAAAGGCCAAAGTGTGAGCAAGAATACGGCAATCACCGTCACATAAGGCATCGCCTTTGAAAAATCGTCATCCGCATCTTCGACTTTCACAACTCGTGTAGCCTAAATACAAAAATGAAACCTCAAACAAAGATATTTCACTCACCAAAAAGTAGTCTACTTCTTCCGCGTTACACATCGGCGATCCACAACACATCAGAGGTCCTCTGTACTTTAGATTCTTCTATAACAAGAGCTTTGAAAAGCAAAAATGTGCAACTACCTTCGCCTTCTTGTACAAGGAGCTGTTTAATTCCCTCGGTTCTTTGTCAAACTAAAATAAAAATATTGTTTACTCAGAGTTGAAACACTTACATCTGATCGCAGAATCCCTTCGGCTTGCCAATCAAAATCGACTCCGAAATCCGGGCTGAACTCGATCTCCTGCACGGAAAAGTAGTAACTAAAAAGATACATTAAATTATTTATAACTTTAAGTACAAAAGATTACTTTCGTAGCTTTATAGTTTACCAAAGCAAATAAGCTTACCCTCCTTTATCACGAAAATCCCAGCATTCTCTCGGTAGTGCGCTAGCCGGTACTCCTGTTCGAAGTGCTGTCAGTGGCTTGATTCCATCTCTAAAAAGTAAAAATCAATCAACCAGATCAGCTTCATAATAAACCCAATTAAAAACAACTAACAGAGTAAGCATGGTGATACAAATCGGTTGTTGCCGGAGGTAGTATTGCACAGTCTCGCGTGGTGCCGTGAAAACCAATTGACGTACACATGACAGCGTCGTGAATGCATCTAAAGAAGAATATTCATCCAATTCAAAGTTTAACGATTTACACAAAAACTTAAAAATACCTACCTGGACGCGGGCCGTTGAAATGCGGATATTCACAATGATGGCAGTAGTCTTGTAGGACCTAAAAAAACATGATTCACCTTCTAATCATCAAATCAAAAACTTAAATTTAAACCCCTAACACACTATAGCTATAAACAAAAAAAGTGTTAGAGTTTGTTCATCAAATTTTCCTAAATAAGGTTAAATGCTGCCATAGACAACAACGATTAATCTTCCTAAAGAAACTCTAGCAATAAACTAGAAATATTACTCGACTTCATGTAGACTGCGGTAGGTTAAAATGGCTTTAACCTATTAAACACGCAATTTTTTCTTTTAGTGTGACAAATTTATCGTTTATTAGAGATTTCATCGATTACTTGTATCATTTAGCCGATAAGCAAGTCTAATTGCTGACTGATAATGAGCAACAACTACAACGCTTTCTATTCCACGGATAAAGCTGGTGTTTTGGAATCGTTTTAAGCTTAAAAGAAGCCAGTTAAGCTTAAAGTTTTAAGCTTAAAAGAACAGTACTGACGGTAAAGCCACAACTCGATGTAAGATTGCGTGAAAACAGTTAAAAGCTACTGCTCAACAATTTACGGGGGTGGCTACTTTGCGCCAAATTTTTTACGCAACTGGGTCTTTTGCACAACTCGCCATAACTTTCTTCTAAGTGGGCCAATCTTTATGATTTTGGTGTTCTTTTGTTGCATTTCTTGAGATTTACAAAATGACACCAAAATCATGACATCAATCATAAAGATTAGCCAACTTAGAAGAAAGTTAAGGGCGAGTTGTGCAAAAAAATTGGCGAAAAGTAGCCTCCCCACAATTTACGGGTCAGAAAGTTTTAGAAAAGCCACAAAATCTTACATCTTCGCGAGTCGATTTGAGAGTGATGAGGTATGGGAGATGAAGAAGAATCAACGGTGCGACAAACAAAATCCTCATCAAAGTTTGGGAGATCGATCAGCCGATTCGAGTGGAGAAAAGCGTAGAAAATGAAGAGAGGGAAAGAGGCGGCTTTTGGAAGAGATTTAAATGCAAAAACACTTTACTTACTGATTGTGGCTCACTCCAAGCTTACCATGAGTTTATGCCGTGATCTAATCAAATTTAAATCATAGTCAGCTAACTTTCGAGTCTTTCTTTTAGAAGATACCACGTCATCAGTGCGGGTATTTCCCTTCTCTCACTCCCTCCTTTCTTTTCTTTCAATTCTTATCGAAACCCAAACAATCCCACACCTTTTTTGACGAGTCTTTCCTCTTTTTTTCTTTAGTTCAAAAAGCTTTGCAAATTGATTAGATCACGGCCGAATTCAGCGGTGATTTTCACGTTTCAATGTTGTTTTTTGATTTAATTTCAACTTTTAAAATATTATATAATTTTCAACTTAAAACTTCACCATAACTTTCGTGTGCAAAGTTCAAATTTGCATACGGAATTCTTTCAAATTCTTTACAGTCATCACTTCAAAGATTGAAAGCTAAGGGAGTGGGACAAATGCGACCTTTTTTTTGCGCACCCGGACATTTGCGCACCTTTTTTCGCGTTTTAAAAAAGCTCTAAAAGCTAATATTAACCAATTTCTATTCCAAAAGTTGTTTTTCTAGGTAATTTTAGGGCGTAGGATCGAAATTTTGACATACCAGAGCTTGTGGAAGCGAACGGACGGAGTTATACAAAGAGAAAACACAATTTTCTTTCTGCACAATTTTCTGTAATTTGACCTAGCCGTTTTGTCTTTCAAATTGGTTCCACACGCTCTGTTATGTCAAAATTTCGATTCTACGCCCTAAAATTACCTAGAAAAACAACTTTTGGAATAGAAATTGGTTAATATTAGTTTTTCGAGCTTTTTAAAACGAGAAGGGGTGCGCTAATGGGCTAAGTGCGGAAATACCTTAACCTAGACTGATAACCCTAATCTAGACTGAATATCCTAATCTAGACTGAATATCCTAATCTAGACTGAATACCGTAATCCAGCTAATCTTAACTGAATACTTTGACCTAGCCGTTTTGTCTTTCAAATTGGTTCCACAAGCTCTGTTATGCCAAAATTTGAATTCGACACCCTCAAATTACCTAGAAAAACAACTTTTGGAATAGAAATTGGTTAATATTAGCTTTTAAGAGCTTTTTTAAAACGCGAAAAAAGGTGCGCAAATGTCCGGGTGCGCAAAAAAAAGGTCGCATTTGTCCCACTCCCTTGGCTTTTGACTTTTTAGGGCTTCATCACTGCAAAGATTGAAAGCTAATGCTAACAAACAAGCTAACAAATTACCCAGCTAAAAGCTGGATAATTTGTAAAACTACCGTAAACTTGTAAAACTACCGTTTTTTTCAGCTTTTGTTCTATTTATTTACCTAATTTTAAGCTCATTTAATAAGAAATCAATTTAAATTTTAAATTTTAATAAGAAATCAAACAATGAGCTGAATGGGATCAAATTAAGCAAAGGGAAAATCTAAAAGATTAAATTACGGTAGCTTTCCAAATTTGCCACTTTTCAGAAAACACCTTGAGGACGACATTTTGAGGCATAGCAATGCGAGATGAAGCCTATCGAGCGGTGATCGCTTCGATTCTTCTCTCGAATCCCGATGACACCGAAAAGGAAAGCGCTCATATCACTCTTCTTCTCGCACATCTTAGAAAGGTAAATGAAAAAAACTTGATGCAAATCACAAAAAATATAAGAATCAAAGTTAGAGCCAAAGTTGACACAAGAATAAATTGACACTATAAAACTCGTACCGTATTTTCTCTAATAGTAGTGCACCCAAGCGAGCCGAGTTGGTGACTATTTTACAGTCTCAAAGTCTTCCCAGAAGCCCAACACTCTAATCATCATCAAGATCTCATCGTCAGCTACCTTTTCCGACCCCACATCAATAGGTTCTGATCAGCGGTTTTCGAGATTTCGAGGAATTTAGGCGACGCTCTGGGTGCAATACTATTAGAGAAAAATCCGTTAAACATTTTTCTGGAAGTACTAAGGATGTAACTTTTGAATTTTTAAGACTTCAACTTGAGTGAAATCTTTCCTTGATCAACTCTGTTTTTCTGATCTGATCAACTCAACAGTAACTCAAACTCTTTTAGATTTTCCAACTCGCAATCCCAAGACACGATCGTCTTGTACAAGAGTGCCTCAAATTTGTGAGTTCTCTAATTATTAACAACTTGTTAGATTAAGTCGAAAATTCTCAATCTGAAGCAAATATAATCCTTATCAGAATTGTTCCAATTGGGCTCTGGTGACCCGTTGGTGGCTCTGGTGCTCGGGTGTCGGGGACCGCACCCTGATCCTGTGGGCGGAAGACTCATGCGTTATCCACTAGGCCACCAATGTACCTTTTCTCTTTCTAGGAAGGCACCAACACCACCTCTTTCTTTCTCTTTTAAAGCACAGATGCTTTAAAAAGCCAAAACGCCAAATTTTGACTATTTGACGCAAAATTTTCAATTGAATTTTTCATTTGGGAAAGTAATTTGGGAGATTTTGATTTCAGATTCGGATTCCTCATGCCCGTCTATAAAGTGCACTAAGTGTCCAAAAAAAAGCTCACTTGAGTTCGTGCCTTTCTCTAGTTAGAAATCAGTTCAGAAGCCAGGTCCAGGCATGAAATGGCCTCTTATTTTTAGGGATTTGTAGAGCCAAGTTTTTGCAAGGCTAGCCAGGCTTGCAGTGAAGCCTAGCCAGGCTTGTAGTGAAGTCTAGCCAGGCTTGCAGTGAAGCCTAGCCAGGCTTGTAGTGAAGTCTAGCCAGGCTTGCAGTGAAGCCTAGCCAGGCTTTCAGTGAAGCCTAGCCAGGCTTGCAGTGAAGCCTAGCTAGGCCTGACTTCTGGAAAAAAATTCCCTTTGAAAAAACCCATTCACTATCAGACTCGAAAACAAAAACCCCAAAATTCCAGAGAACCTACGTCCTCGAAACGACAATTGCCGACATTCCACCAACGAAAAACGTTTTGCTCATCGTTGACAAGTTGAAAATTTTGAGTCGCTTTGTTTAGTTCGGTTTAGTGGACGAAAAACGACTCAACACACACTCAATGGAGGCGAAACGTATGAAATGTGAGCCTAAACTGCTATTTCAATGGAATAGATGCCAGAATAAAATATTCATCTAACAAAGGCTACACTTTTCGAGCACTTTTCGAGCACTTTTTAGAGCACTTCTCTTTTAGAGATCTCGGTCCATCACGGGATGTCCATTTCTATTGTCAAGTCGTCAAGTTGAATGGGCAAAAAGCAAAGGCGATGCTCAGGAAAACTACACTTTTTCGAAGGTAAAAGGTTTTTGAAGGTTTTGTAAAATACGGAAAGTAAGTAATTTTCGTATTTTACAAAACCTCATTCTTCTTTTAATGCATTATATGATTGTACCTGCATAACGAATCACTTTCCACATTCAAGCAAACAAACTCTTTCTTTCTAAAGCGTTGATCTTTCTAAAGCGTTGATCTTTCTAAAGCGTGGATCCAAAGAAATGATGCACTTTAGAAACAAAAGTGGTTTGCTAAAGGGCGGAAAGTCTTCAGTTGCAAAGTTTTAGACAAGATAAACAAGTGCTGCTTACAAATTTGATTAGAGTGTTTTCCTCGCGAGTAATGCGTTTTTTTTAAAACGCAAACTTGAGAAAAATACCGTACTTCGATATCGTTTTAGCGAAATTGCAAACGAGCACCGCCTTATATATGTTGTGTCCGATTTAGATTTCCGTCCGATTTAGATTCAATCTAAATTGGACGTCCGATTTAGATTGAACTTATCGCGGACGTCCGATTTAGATTACGGTCTATATCGGACGTCCGATTTAGATTCAATCTAAATCTTATATAGATTGAACAATAATATAAACATGCTTAATATATGTTCTTAAGCGTTTTCTGTAGTTTTCTGCATTTTTTTCTGCATTTTGCAATGACGGTGCGGAGTGTTGCGTAGTCTAGCTTTGAAAGAGTTTTTCTCGACATTGGTTTATGCTACAATGCTCGCTTAGGTATCAAAAAATAGCTGAAATTCAGGGCTATTTTTTGATATCAAAAGACGGAGCATCACGTAGTCTAACTTTAAACGCATTTTTCTCGACAACAGTTTATAATGACAGCCGGAGCATCGCGTAGTCTAGCTTTGAAAGAGTTTTTCTCGAGACTGGTTTATGCTACAATGCTCGCTTAGGTATCAAAAAATAGCCCTGAATTTCAGCTATTTTTTGATACCAAAGACGCATTTTTTGAAAGTACAGGAGCTTTAAAAATACTAAATAAATGAAATGCTAAATAAATTTTGCGACTACGCGACTGTACGAAGGGAATGGGGTACTATTACAGTATTTACGGTAGGTTATTGAGCTGAAAATTCGAACATGTTGAAACAAAACGAGCTTTACGCCGACGGTATCAAATTTTCAAGGAAAATGTGCTTGTTGAAATCAGCGAAAAGTTAACTCTAAAACTTTGGCGTAAAGCAGCGTTAGCGTAAAGCAGCGTTAGCGTAAAGCAGCGTTAGCTTAAAGCAGCGTTAAGCTTAAAGCAGCGTTAGCTTAAAGCAGCGTTAGCTTAAAGCAGCGTTAGCGTAAAGCAGCGTTAAGCTTAAAGCAGCGTTAGCTTAAAGCAGCGTTAGCTTAAAGCAGCGTTAGCGTAAAGCAGCGTTAAGCTTAAAGCAGCGTTAGCTTAAAGCAGCGTTAGCTTAAAGCAGCGTTAGCGTAAAGCAGCGTTAGCGTAAAGCAGCGTTAGCGTAAAGCATAACTCTGGCGGCACTGTAGTTAATTGGGTAGAGCGTAGAGCGTGGGGTCCAATTACAATATGTATTGAAAACTAAAGTAACTACTAATCATCTACATCATTGTATTTACGATTTCTTTTCTATTACTAACTACGACTAACCCAAAATCTACTAACCCAATTCCAGAATGATCCCCGAGCAGCAAGAATTAGAGGAGAGAATCTCGACACGAAGTCTGCCATTGGATGAGAGGATTCGGCGAGCTTTCTCGGCTAAAGGCACAACATATCATGCGGATTTCCGGCTTACTGTAAGACTGATGTTCAAAAATAGTATCTATTGCAATGTTCTCCAAGAGTGGTTTCAATTTCAGAAGCAAATGAGTGACTCTCCACTCCCAAAGATCGAATTCAGCGATCTCGTCGAATTCGTGCGAACTGTGCACGAGAACGAGGCGCCAAATCAGGTGGATTGTCTAGAAAATTGAAATTGAATTGAAAAATTGACTTAAGTATTGAAAAAGAGCTCCGTAAGTGGAGATGATTTTAAATTTCAATTCAAAATTTGACCCTCGTTAACCATTTTTTTAGAAACCCGTCTACTCCGGAGAGCTCCAAGAACGATCATTTTCCCTTCTTCACTTAACTTTCATTTTCTACGAAATGCAAGGAATCTATTTGAAGCTCATGTGAGTCTCGTGTTTACTTATATTAAGTTGTAAACTAACTGAACCTTTTGGAAAAAGTGGGTTTGAAAAAGCTGGACCAAATTGAAGCTGGACCAGCTGGACTAAATTGAAGCTGGACCAGCTGGACCAAATTGAAGCTGGACTAAATTGAAGCTGGACTAAACCAATTTTGATTTGAATCATTTGATCTACAGTACTGGACAATGAAATATCATATTTGAAAAAAGATCGTCACTTTCGCGCGTCTGTAACTCCCTTGTCTTTGAGTTTAAACTATTAGTGTTATACATTCTGAGTACAAATAATTTTTCCTTGTAAAGCCTTGCAAAACCTTGTAAAACCTTGCAAAACCCTGCGAAAACCTTGCAAAACAAAAATTAACTTGCAAAAATCTGATCCTTTGTATATGATTTGTTTATCCGATATTTATCTATTTATATATTTATCTATTTATCAGGTGAGGAGAAAACCGATTTATTTTCATTTCGATTTCGATTTCACAATTCTTTAGCCAATCTCAACTTTGCATGGATTACTCAACCCCTTTCCCCGTTCTTTGTGCATTCTCTGTGCTCTCGCATAATCTCCGCTCATCTGGCAAAGGCCGTTTACCTAAGAGGCTCTAATTCTCGACTGAAATGAAATATCTAAAGTAAAGCCCGGGTCTTATTTAAGACCCTGGACGATTAATTTTTGGAAGCCTTTCCCATGAAAGGCGAAAATGTGAGAAGAAAACAGATTCTGAAAGGGAGAAGAAAAAGAAAAGAGAAAATTAGGGAAAAGCTACCGTAATCCAGGGCGAGATTGCTTCTAAACAGATTCTAAAAAATGTGCTTTAAAAAAGATCATGAGAACAACTGGATTAGGCAACCAAAAGCAAGCTTACACTGTTTTAAGCGAGCAGCGGAACAGCACGAGGACGTGCAGCTCTGAACGAGCAGCCTTACTTGAACGAGGAGCAGCCTTACTTGAACGAGGAGCAGCCTTACTTGAACGAGGAGCAGCCTTACTTGAACGAGGAACAGCCTTACTTGAACGAGCAGCCTTACTTGAACGAGCCAGCTATCACTCAATTAACTAAAAGAGTTGGAAAGAAACGAGCAAAGACAGCTTGGCCACACGCAATAGACGTGACACTTTTTGAAAGCAAGAAAAAAAGTTTCATCAAGATTCTTCTTTTGCTTTTGGTGTTTTAGACTTGCATTTTAGACGTTTTCAAGCTTTTCAAGCGGTCGATAGAGATCTCAAATCGATTAAACGGATTTAGTTTATTTAGATTTAGATAATTTTATTGAAAATGTAAAAGCTAAGGGTTTTATTAGTATTATACTAAAATTCAAATTAGTCTATAACTATAAAAGAACTATAAAGGAACTATAAGGAGCTCAATAGGAACTATAAAGGAACTATAAAGGAACTCTAAAGGAACTCAATAGGAACTATAAAAGAACTAGAAAAGAACTATAAAGGAGCTCAATAGGAACTATAAAGGAACTATAAAGCAAATATTAGGTTGATGCATAGCTAGGATTACGGTAGGTAGGATTACGGTAGCTTGTTTGCTTGAGTTAGCCTTTGTTGTTACACAGCACACTCCAGCTGTGTGTAAAGCAAACTCCAGCTACCGTAACCCCTCTTAATCCTATGATACCTCTGAAATCTAAAGCTAAAGCTAATCTAAAGACGAATTTCGTAAATCTTTAGTATTTCTGGTCAATTACAATACTCTTTAGGGTTATCTGGGTTACTGTAACGGCTAGAAACTGGACTAGAAGTCTTTAAGAAGCTTTAAAGTCTAATTTCCCGGATCTAGTCTTTCAATCTGATCGAAAACTAATCGAAAACATTGATGGATTGTTTATTATCATAAAATATTAGGTTGATGCATAAGTTTTTTTCGTACTTCTGTTAAAAAGTAACAAATTCACCAATTAATCTATAGTTTGCTCTATAAAAAAAGTGTTTTTTTGTTGAATTTGCATCTTTTTAAATGAATTTCGGTTGACTTTCAAGCAAATTCGAGAGTGAAAAACGCCTTTTTCGTAAAAATCTATAAAAAACTCTACGGAAAAATTGGCTGAATGAATTTCTCTGAAATTTTGGCGAAATATCAAACGTTTTTTTTCTCTATCTTTTATCTATTGACACGAAGATAGGTTTTCTTTAGCTAAGGTGTCTAAACCGCATCATCGAGTTAGCCCTTTTTGACTACCCGACTTCATACTCTCAAGAAAATCCAGGCATTAAATATTTTTAAACCCGTTTTAATGTTATTTTGCAGAAAAATAATTCGTTTTTCTAATGAAATCAACCGTAGTTTAATTCGTGCATTTGTTGGCTTGAAACGGCAGACGAAAAGGAACAAAAACACTTATGCATCAACCTATTAGTTATAGCTATATCCCAAATAAGATCCTGTATCCCAAACAGCTTTAAACCATTCTAAAAATATTTTCACTATTATAGTAAATAGTAATGCTTGAACTCTAAGCCTTTAGCTTTACAAAAAGAATGATTCGTTTTCTAGAAAGCTACCGTATAGCTCAAAAAAGACAGACTGTTGAGTCTGTCTGGGAAAGTCTGTGAAAACCTTTTTGTTGAGAAAAGAGATCTTTTCTGATAGACAGATCAAATGATTCAAATCAAAATTGGTTTAGTCCAGCTTCAATTTTATCCAGCTTCAATTTAGCCCAGCTTCAATTTGGTCCAGCTGGTCCAGCTTCAATTTAGTCCAGCTTCAATTTAGTCCAGCTTCAATTTAGTCCAGCTTCAATTTAGTCCAGCTTCAATTTGAGCGTCAAAAGAGCGTCACTTTCGCGCGTCTGTAACTCCATTGTCTTTGGGTTCAAAACTATTAATGTTATACATTTTTCTGAAACCTCTTTTCAAGGGCTACACAATGGTAACCGTAATATTTAGAAATACGGTATTTTTTGACGCATTCCAGCGCGCATAAGATGGGATACTCAAAATTTTACAAATATTCATTATTCTAAGGTAAATTTTTGTGTAGATTCCGAAAATCGTAGTTTCAGAGTGATTTCAGCACTCTATCATAAAGGAAAAAGCTTTGAAAAGCAAAAATTTTGAGTATCCCATCTTGTGCGCGCTGAAATGCGTCAAAAAGTACCGTATTTCTCGATATTAATATATAGAAAAGGCGCCGATTTTACAATTATAATACTAATTTGAATTTTAGTATAATACTAATAAAACCCTTAGCTTTTACATTTTCAATAAAATTATCTAAATCTAAATAAACTAAATCCGTTTAATCGATTTGAAATCTCTATCGACCGCTTGAAAAGCTTGAAAACGTCTCAAAATGCAAGTCTAAAACACCAAAAGCAAAAGAAGAATCTTGATGAAACTTGTTTTCTTGCTTTCAAAAAGTGTCACGTCTATTGCGTGTGGCCAAGCTGTCTTTGCTCGTTTCTTTCCAACTCTTTTAGTTAATTGAGTGATAGCTGGCTCGTTCAAGTAAGGCTGTTCCTCGTTCAAGTAAGGCTGCTCCTCGTTCAAGTAAGGCTGCTCGTTCAGAGCTGCACGTCCTCGTGCTGTTCCGCTGCTCGCTTAAAACAGTGTAAGCTTGCTTTTGGTTGCCTAATCCAGTTGTTCTCATGATCTTTTTTAAAGCACATTTTTTAGAATATGTTTAGAAGCAATCTCGCCCTGGATTACGGTAGCTTTTCCCTAATTTTCTCTTTTCTTTTTCTTCTCCCTTTCAGAATCTGTTTTCTTCTCACATTTTCGCCTTTCATGGGAAAGGCTTCCAAAAATTAATCGTCCAGGGTCTTAAATAAGACCCGGGCTTTACTTTAGATATTTCATTTCAGTCGAGAATTAGAGCCTCTTAGGTAAACGGCCTTTGCCAGATGAGCGGAGATTATGCGAGAGCACAGAGAATGCACAAAGAACGGGGAAAGGGGTTGAGTAATCCATGCAAAGTTGAGATTGGCTAAAGAATTGTGAAATCGAAATCGAAATGAAAATAAATCGGTTTTCTCCTCACTTGATAAATAGATAAATAGATAAATATCGGATAAACAAATCAGATACAAAGGATCAGAATCAGACTTTTGCAAGTTAATTTTTGTATGCAAGGTTTTACAAGGCTTTGCAAGGTTCTACAAGGCTTTACAAGGTTTTGCAAGGTTTTGCAAGGTTTTGCAAGCTTTTGCAAGGTTTTACAAGATTTTGCAAGCCTTCGCAAGCTCTCGTTTAACTGCTAGAACTAGTGAAAGGCTAGTTACAAGAATTTGAACTTCACAAATCAAAATTTCCAGCTCACTGTGCGTCTTCTTGGTGTGGGATTCGTCTGTAGCCCCACTAGCAATCGGCGTCCTTCCCTCAGCCATTCAAACTCTCGAAAATCACCAGGAACAACCCGAGATTTGTCGAGTTTTTGTGAGTTGATTAGGAAAATACAACAAAAAAGGCAATTGGTACATAAAATTGAGACAGCTTTACTACCGTATACTAAAAAGAATAGCCAGGCTGAAAAACCTTCAATTAAAGCTAAAGTTGCCCAGCATTTCCGGCTGAATATTGGCTGAGAGATACTGAAATCACACGCTTGAGTGAAACCGGTGGATTTCCTTCTCTTTCTTCCTTGTATTCCCTTTTATCCCTTGGGAATTTAAGGCACCGGATAGCTGTAGAGGAATTGCTGGTAGAGGAAGTGGTAGAGGAATTGCTGGTGGAGGAAGTGGTAGAGGAATTGCTGGTAGAGGAAGTGGTAGAGGAATTGCTGGTGGAGGAAGTGGTAGAGGAATTGCTGGTGGAGGAAGTGGTAGAGGAATTGCTGGTGGAGGAAGTGGTAGAGGAATTGCTCAGTGGTAGAGGAATTGCCAGTGGTAGAGGAATTCCTGGTAAGCGGGAGGTCGAGAGTTCAATCCCCTCATTCGCATCAACTTTTTCTTTGCTAATTCCAGAAAGATTTCTATAGCACAATAACTCAGCGAGTTCGATTTTACTTTGCAAAGCCACAGTGCAAAGCTGCGAAGCTATTTTGCAAAGCTATGTGCAAGTATGACTGCAGAAATCGCTACAGCAAGCTCAGCAGTGACTCAGCAGCTCAGCAGCGACTCAGCAATTCAGCAGTGACTCAGCAGCTCAGCAATGACTCAGCAGCTCAGCAGCAGAACCCCATGAAGTAATTCCTACAGAAGCTCTACAGTAATTCCTACAAGTGCCAAAGCAGCTATATACAGTATGAACAGTCAACATGACTCCAGCAAGTCTTTAGACTATGACAAGCAAGAATTTAAACGAAAATTTGAAGTAATTTTTGAAGTAACTGAGAAAAGAGATGTTTTTCTAATTGTACACAGATTCTCATCACTTTTAGACGCACTGCATTGAGTATTTGTTCGACTGTGTCCTCGGGGTTATCGACGATCTTCTTGCTCCAGCACCAACAAGTAAAATTTGAATATTGCACTGTAGATAGCATTATAGTATTGTAGATAAACGATAGCTTATGAAGAGATAAAGCTTATAAAGAGATTTCGATAAAGAATTTCTTAATTCTTTATCGAAAGTTCAGGCGCCTCTCAGCAAGTTTTCCGCAAGCAAACGCGTCTCTTCCACGCGCACTCGAGTGGCAGTGAAGATGGAGGACATCGGAAACTCGAGAGGCAGAAATCGATTCAATCCAGGTGAAGAGCTAGCACTAGATTGATGTATTGAAAGGATTTTAGATCCTCAGCCTCGAGTCCTTCAAGTAAACCCCGTACGTCATCAATGTTGTCGGCTCAATCGCAAACGAGTACTCTGTTGACGACTCCGCATGCTTCGTTGGAGAGACGGGTGCGTATTTTGAAGCTTTTCTCTGGAAACACACCCTTTCTGGTGTACTTCAAACACACCCTTTCTTCGTTTTTCCTTATTTGGCTTGGGTCAATGGTTATTATATTACAAAAGCTTTTTTTTTGGCAAAGCAAGGCAAGCCTAGCTTCTAATTTTCCTAGCCTAGCTTCTATTTTTGTCGTTTTATCCTGTCTGATTTGGTTTTACGGTAGGTTTAGCTCGAAAATTACTCGAAAATTGCGAAAATTGCGAAAATTGCTTACTAAAGCCAGATCTGGATCTACTTTTGACCGGATTTTTGCCCAGCCTTGCCCGGCATTGACTCTGATTTATTGGACAGGCTCTAGGACCCGGTTGGAGCATCCCTACACTGCTGAAAAGCAAACATTTAATGTATTTGCTAAATATTTAGCACCGTTGCTGCGATTTACATTCAAGATTACAAATTTACACCCAAAAGTAGTTCCAAAGTAAGAAACGAAACGGCTACGGAAAAGTACGATTTTCGCTCAATTGTTGCCTCGCCTGAATACCTTTTTCGCCTCCAATCTTGTTATATATGTTACGTCTGATCTAGACCGATTCTAGATTGGACGTCCGTTCGAGAAATCCGTCCGATCTAGACTGATTCTAGATCAGATCTAGAGTGAAGTTAGGTCAAACGTTCGACCTAGAATCAAGCCGATCACTCTAAACCTAGCTCTGGATCGGACATCTGATTTAGAATGATCGGCTTGATTCTAGATCGAAACTTCGACTTCACTCTAGATTGGACGTCCGATCTAGAATCAGTCTAGATAGAACGTAACATATACAGGTGTTGAGGTGTTATATGTTATATACTTTTTCTCCTCCTTCTTGAGGATGTTTTTGGAGATTGTGAGCACGTTGGACTGTGAAAATCTTCTCATCCGTGAACAAAACGTTTCTCCAGCGACCATTGGCGATCAGTCGATCATTGGCGATCAGTCGATCATTGGCGATCAGTCGATCATTGGCGATCAGTCGACCACTGGCGATCAGTCGATCATTGGCGATCAGTCGACCACTGGCGATCAGTCGACCATTGGCGATCTTCTTTCCCTTGGCTTCTTTCCCTCATGCAATCATTCAAAAAATGTCTGGCAAATTTGTAGCTAAACATGTGAAGCCTCTTCCTAAGAATCGTTTGCACTCGTTTTTTGCTGATTTTCAACGATTTTGCAAGGCTTTGCATCGAAATTTCTGGGTTGCGACGAATTCGGCACTTGATCTTGTTGATGTTCTCCGGAGTGATCTGGAGCGATCTGGAGTGATCTGGAGTGATCTGGAGTGATCTGGAGTAAGTCTTCCACTTCTGGGTCGATTCGAATCATCACCCAACTCTTAATCACGATCCACTGTCCGTTTGACCTTCATTTTGTTACATCGAGTCGCTCGTCCAATGTCTGGATTCTTGAATCCACGCTTGTGCAACTCGATGATGGTGATGCGTTCCCTATCGCCTCTATCGTTCCCTATCTCTATCCAACTCTCGTTCCCTATCTCTATCCAACTCTCGTTCCCTATCTCTATCCAACTCTCGTTCCCTATCTCTATCCAACTCTCGTTCCCTATCTCTATCCAACTCTCGTTCCCTATCTCTATCCAACTCTCGTTCCCTATCTCTATCCAACTCTCGTTCCCTATCTCTATCCAACTCTCGTTCCCTATCTCTATCCAACTCTCGTTCCCTATCTCTATCCAACTCTCGTTCCCTATCTCTATCCAACTCTCGTTCCCTATCTCTATCCAACTATCGTTCCCTATCCCTATCCAACTCTCGTTCCCTATCTCTATCCAACTCTCGTTCCCTATCTCTATCCAACTCTCGTTCCCTATCTCTATCCAACTCTCGTTCCCTATCTCTATCCAACTCTCGTTCCCTATCCCTATCCCTATCGCTCGTCATCCTGAAAAATCAAAGTTAAAAACAGTAATGAAATCAACAAAATCAAAAAGAAACATAAATAATATAGTTGTTCAAGAAAAACTGTGACTTTTCTTTAATTTACAAAAATTAACAGAACTTTCCAGCCATTCTGTATTGTTTTTCTTTTTAATTCCTCATTTTTAAATCAGTGAAATCGTCACACATAATCTTGATTCATTTTGCTTAATTGTGCATTTTGCTTCCCACATTTTATTCCCGTTTATTCCCATTTTATTCCCGTTATTCGTGCAAGGAATCCATTTGGTTTAAGTAAAAGGATACTGATCATAGGATACTGATCATAGGATACTGATCATAGGATACTGATCATAGGATACTGATCATAGGATACTGATCATAGGACACTGCTCATAGGATACTGCTCATAGGATACTGATCATAGGATACTGATCATAGGATACTGATCATAGGATACTGATCATAGGATACTGATCATAGGATACTGATCATAGGATACTGATCATAGGATACTGATCATAGGATACTGATCATAGGATACTGATCATAGGATACTGATCATAGGATACTGATCATAGGATACTGATCATAGGACACTGCTCATAGGATACTGCTCATAGGATACTGCTCATAGGATACTGCTCATAGGATACTGATCATAGGATACTGATCATCGGACACTGCTCATAGGACACTGATCATAGGATACTGCTCATTGGACACTGATCATAGGACACTGATCATAGGATACTGATCATAGGATACTGATCATCGGACACTACATCTAAATCGTTTAATGAAACAATTCTTTTTTTAGGTATCCGAGATGTCAACTCATTCCTCGCATTCCTCAAAACCAATCAGTCCACCCAGTCCCGTTCTCACTCGACCCACTCATTTAGCATCGGGAAATGGGACAACCCTGTTAAATCCATCGGTTGTTGAAAGGAAACGATCGTTTTTAGGTTCGCCAATTGCAAAATGGCCGGGCCAAACATTCGGTAAGTTTGAAACAACCATATGGTAACTTTGAGCTCAAATATCTTTGTGATGGGTTGTCCAATTGAGACATTTTTGGTATCATTAGATGCGCCAAGTCTTTCTTTATCGATTGATACAAAAAGTATTTAAATTGGTTAGCTCAACTCCAAGGTATTTGAGCTCAAAGTTAGATTGCCAATGGCAAAGGGGGCAACCTTTTATAAAGGTCACCCCGCCCCTTTTCCCATTGGCTAACTTTAAGCTCAAATATTGGGTTGTTCAATTGAAATAGTTTTTGTATTAATTAACTCAAAGTTAGATTGCCAATGGCAAAGGGGGCGGGGCGCGTATAAAAGGTAGCCCCGCCCCTTTTCCCATTGGTTAACTTTGAGATCAAATATCTCGGTGTTGGGTGGTTCAATTGAAATACTTTTTGTATCAATCGATAGAGAAAGACTTGGCGAATCTAATGATACCAAAAAGATTTAAATTGGACAATCCAGGACAAAGATATTTGAGTTCAAAGCTAGATTGCCAATGGCAAAGGAACGGAACGTCAAATTCAAGAATTTTTTAAAATTTAAGTACCTATATTAACCCCAATGCTAGGTCGAACCAAGAAGCACATTTTGGAGCGATCGATCTCTTATCACACTCATCCAAAACTCGAGCGAGTCCCCTCAACAAGATCAGCTAAAGCAATCGAAGAGCATCGATACAGAAACGATCCGCCAATGCATGTGCCGACGTTGAAACGCAAATCAGTGACCCTTTTGGATATGCAAGGTTTGAAGTTTTTTGAGATTTTGAAAGAGATTTTGAATTTCAAAAATTATAGGCCTCGATCTACCACTTCATTTGCGAATTTTCCCACCAAATGAGGGCACACAAATGCAGGATTTCAATCGAATGATGCTGTGAGTTATCTTATCAAATCACATCTTTTCTCATGTCAAAAACCGGGCCAAATCGGATTAGAGCTATTTTTGATGAAGTTTTATGTAAAAAGATGACTAAAGTCTGACTCTGTTTGGGGCGGGGCAAACATTTGATACGCATCATTTGGTAACTTTGAGCTCAAATATCTTTGTGTTGGGCCTTCCAATTTAAGTATTTTTGGTATTATTAGATTCGCCAAGTCTTTCTCTATCGATTGGTGCAAAAACTATTTCAATTGAACCACCCAACACCGAGATATTTGATCTCAAAGTTAACCAATGAGAAAAAGGGGCGGGGCTACCTTTTATACGCGCCCGGTTTTCCAATTTAAGTATTTTTGGTATCATTAGATGCAGCAAGTCTTTCTCTATCGATTGTTGCAAAAAGTATTTAAATTGGTTAGCTCAACGCCAAGATATTGGAGCTCAAAGTTCGATTACCAATGGCAAAGGGGGCAGGGCGACCTTTTATAAAGGTCGCCTGGTCTGTTCAGGTCGTATCTCGTCAAACGTCAATGCTCTAGCGAGGTGGCCGACTTTTAGAACTTGTATTCCTTTTGGAATGCAAATTTTTCTTCACTTAACAACTTCAAATCATTTGCAAGATATTTGCCATTATTTTGTATGATTTTTGCCTATTTTACTGGTAAAAGCCGAATGCCTCTCTCACAGAAAATACGGTATCCGTTAATCCAATGGAATCCAAGTTGCAAATACGGTTTAAACCCTATGCAATGTTCGAGTATTATTGTATAATCAACTGATAACTATTAGGTTGATGCAAAAGTCTTTTCGTTTTTTTCGTACTTCTGTTAAAAAGTAACAAATTCACCAATTAATCTATAGTTTGCTCTATAAAAAAAGTGTTTTTTGTTGAATTTGCATCTTTTTAAATGAATTTCGGTTGACTTTCAAGCAAATTCGAGAGTGAAAAACGCCTTTTTCGTAAAAATCTATAAAAAACTCTACGGAAAAATTGGCTGAATGAATTTCTCTGAAATTTTGGCGAAATATCAAACGTTTTTTTTCTCTATCTTTTATCTATTGACACGAAGATAGGTTTTCTTTAGCTAAGGTGTCTAAACCGCATCATCGAGTTAGCCCTTTTTGACTACCCGACTTCATACTCTCAAGAAAATCCAGGCATCAAATATTTTTAAACCCGTTTTAATGTTATTTTGCAGAAAAATAATTCGTTTTTCTAATGAAATCAACCGTAGTTTAATTGGTGCATTTGGTGGCTTGAAACGGCAGACGAAAAGGAACGAAAAGACTTATGCATCAACCTATTATTTCACGAAAAGAAAGCAAGAAAGAAAGCCTGTTGATTTGAAGAATTTCGAGCAACTTGGCATTATCCAGCTGGACTGCTGGGTCCTCGATTTGTCATCGAAGATTCATCCCTAGAATAGAATTTAACAAACCAGTTTGCACATGCCTGTAGTGGAGTTGATCCTTCCACATAAACATTCTCAAAATCATGTGGAATCCCAGTTTCTAATACGGTTTAAACCCAAGTGTATGCAATCGAGAAAGATGAGCGGCACTGATTGAAACGTGTATTATTGTATGATCAACTGATCAACTGAGCAACTTGTCATTATCCAGCTGAACTGCTGGATCCTCGATTTGTCTTTGAAGATTTTGAAGATCATCCTCAGAACGGAATTTAACAAACCAGTTTCCGTAGTGAAGCTAATCCTTCCTAGCTAATCCTTCCTAGCTGATCCTTCCTAGCTGATCCTTCCTAGCTGATCCTTCCTAGCTGATCCTTCCTAGCTGATCCTTCCTAGCTGATCCTTCCTAGCTGATCCTTCCTAGCTGATCCTTCCTAGCTGATCCTTCCTAGCTGATCCTTCCTAGCTGATCCTTCCTAGCTGATCCTTCCTAGCTGATCCTTCCAAGCTGATCCTTCAAGCTGATCCTTCCTAGCTGATCCTACTTAAACATTCTCAATATTTGTTGAACACTAGAGGCTCTTGTGTCCTTGTAGCAATTTGTACAACTAAAGAAATCGGTTACAAGATTGTGGGAAATTATGCTTCTTGCATTTGACGTTCTGCCCCTTTGCCATTGGCAATCTAGCTTTGAGCTCAAATATTTTGGTGTTGGGTTGTCCGATTGAAAGATTTTTGGTATCCTTAGATGTGCCAAGTCTTTCTCTGTCGATTAGGGCAAAAAGTATTTAAATTGGATAGCTCAACGCCAAGATATTTGAGCTTAAAGTTCTCCAAGTGTTAGAAGAAAGTAAAGTAAAATTCTAAAAACCAAATATGTCAAAAGTGAAAGTGCATTGTTTTTGCAAGAGTTCTAGTTCTGCAAGAGACTCAGAATTCTATTTTTCCACAAACTCCTTTGATGTTTGTTTAAATCTTTAGGATTTAATTTGAAAAAAACGTGCCAAATCATACCTACCAATCCAATAAATCAACCTTCTCAATCTCAATCTCAATCTCAACTCAATCAACCTTCTATTTAGCCCAATCGTTCGCATTTGTGCTCTTTCGGTATGGGATTTTTCGGAAACTCATGATCCAGCCACTTATCTCGCGAATAAACTCAAAATGCTTATCGCATTAGCCGTGCAGAATTGGATCCGCGTAAGTGAAAAGTTTTGTGTTAAATTGAAGCTTTTTTCTTTCATTTAATTCAAGAATAGATAAACTAATCGAATTTGAGATTTTTGTTTCTATTCTTGTCTATTCTTGTCTATTCTTGTCTATTCTTGTCTATTCTTGTCTATTCTTTCCTATTCTTTCCTATTCTTGCCTATTCTTGCCTATTCTTGTCTATTCTTGCCTATTCTTGTCTATTCTTGTCTATTCTTGCCTATTCTTTCCTATTCTTTCCCATTCTTTCCTATTCTTGTCTATTCTTGTCTATTCTTGCCTATTCTTGTATATTCTTGTCTATTCTTGCCTATTCTTGTATATTCTTGTCTATTCTTGCCTATTCTTGTATATTCTTGTCTATTCTTTCCTATTCTTGTCTATTCTTGTCTATTCTTGCCTATTCTTGTCTATTCTTGTCTATTCTTGCCTATTCTTGCCTATTCTTGTCTATTCTTTCCTATTCTTGTCTATTCTTTCCTATTCTTGCCTATTCTTGCCTTCAATTCCTCTATTATTTAGTATGATTTCGTGACTGAATCCCAAGATGTGCACACACTTTGCGCAGCCGTTCAACGAGTCGTCAAGTGAAGAATGAAAGAATGAAAAAGATTTGAAAACAAGAATTTTAGAGCAATCTACTTCAATCAACAACCGTATTCGGTCTACTTTGAGCAATTCTCGATCAATTATTTGAAACTCGTCTTTGAGACTCTTGACTCACCGGTGGGTTTAATCAAGGTTTAATGAAGGTTTAATGAAGTAAAGCAGAAAGCATTATCCTGGCCGGATAGCTTATTGGTAGAGCGTTCGCCTGGTAAGGGAGCGGTCGCGGGTTCGAATCTATTGTCATATGTGATAATCTATTGTCACATATGAAAATAGCCGGCAGTTTTCAATTCAGCAACCCAATATTCCCGAAATTTCCCGAAATTTCCCCAAATTTAGTTAGAAGGTCTTGTGCGAAATGTGATCGAAACGGCCACTTTTACCCTTAACTCTCGGGATTTCAACGCGCTTGACAACTACAGTAAAAACACAATGAAAACCTATCGAGCGATCAAAAATTTGAGGAAAATCGCGACATCAAAAGGGTTTGAAAGATAAAAAAAGCTATTTTTTACCTTATTAATACTGAAACATCGCATAATACGTGTCAATTTTGTTAGAAATACGTTACTTTACTAGCTACGTTACTAGCTACCCACCAATTACCCACTAGATCTATAGTTTTACCTTTAACTCTTTTTCTTTTCCTTAATTTCTGACTCGTCTAACTTTCTGACTCCTTTAACTCCTTAATTTGTGGCCTTAAAACAGACCGTACTCGCGCGTAGTCGAAGCGATCGCTATAAACAACTGTAATTGGCTATCAACAACTGTAATTGGCTATAAACAACTGTAATTGGCTATCAACAAATGTAATTGGCTATAAACAACTGTAATTGGCTATCAACAACTGTAATTGGCTATAAACAACTGTAACTGGCGATCAACAACTGTAATTGGCTATCAACAACTGTAATTGGCTATAAACAACTGTATCTAGCTATAAACAACTGTAACTAGCTATAAACAACTGTAACTAGCTATAAACAACTGTAACTAGCTATAAACAACTGTAACTAGCTATAAACAACTGTAACTAGCTATAAACAACTGTAACTAGCTATAAACAACTGTAATTGGCTATCAACAACTGTAACTGGCTATAAACAACTGTAACTAGCTATAAACAACTGTAACTAGCTATAAACAACTGTAATTGGCTATCAACAACTGTAACTGGCTATAAACAACTGTAACTAGCTATAAACAACTGTAACTAGCTATCAACAACTGTAACTTTCTTTAGCACTCATATTTTTGGGTGTTCTTTAGTTCATTCGAAAGCTCTTGAAATTCGCTATTTTTTGAGCTATAGATCATATCAATCCAATAGATTTGAAGCAAACTAGAAGCGTTTGTAGTTTACGTTCGTAGTGCTTATGTCTACTAGTTTCCTTTAAGCCCTAAGAAACCAGAAAAGTAAAAGCCTTTTGAGATTTCTCAAATATGACTTGGAAGAGTAATGTTTGGGCTTTCGATTGATACCAATTAGACTTATAATGCAAATATCTGTCGGTACTTTTTTGCCGTTGACAATTTAAAGTTTTTCCTATTTTTCTCAACACCAACCCTTCTATTTTGACTATTTTGACTATCATTGAATGCAGAATAAAATTGCGCGTCGAATCATACCAAAATCAACGCAAAATATAATATCCACGCAAAGTTGTTGGCTAAAAACCGGCACACCGCCCATTATGGGCGGCGCTTAACCTTTTGCCTCATAACTTTGCATAGATATTATATTTTGCGTTGCTTTTGGTATCATTCGACGCGCAATTTTGTTCTGCATCGAATGATAATCAAAATAATCAAAATGGAATAGTTGGTGTTGAGAAAAAGACAAAAAACCAACGGTCAAAGGCAAAAAACGTTACAAGTTTAGTCTATTTGAATGCTACAGTGTTTCTAAAAATGTTTTTAGTCAAAATGGTGATTAGAAACTTGGTAATCTAATGTAAAACATGTAGAAGAAGAAAATATTGGTAAAATAGTTTTGTAAGTTAACTTTTATCGATTTAGAATCACGGTACCACTTTTGAGTCGTTTCGAGCAATGGTTTTCCCCGTGTTTAGTCTTTTGGACAACAGCCTGGAGGTTTTGTTTCTGAAATTTCTACAATATTCGCTATTTTTAAGATAGCTTTAAGCTTCTTAAGATATTGGGTTCGTGAATTGAAAATTGCGAGACTTTGAACTTTGAACTAAAATTTATTCAACATAAAACCATCAATTCATTCCAAATAATTTCCATTATTATTGATGACTTTTGCCCATTTTACAGGCAATTTGCGGATCCCTCTTTCGTAGTAGGATATTGGTTTGTGTGTGAGACAAGTGCGGACCTCAAAAATCGAGGACTGGAGATCTGGAGATGTCCCAATTTGAGCATTTGAGCACTTTCTTCAAAAGAAACCCATTTTGGTGTCAATGGGAAAGTTGTAGAGAATCAAAAATTAGGCTTATAGCCAAATTTCTAAAAAGATACACTCAGTAGTTTCGCCTAAAATGCAAGTTTTGTGAAAATTCGTAAATTTGGCATTTCTTGAAAAGCAGTTTTTGAATCGTTCTGAAAATTTGGATATAAGCTTCATTTTTGATTCTCTACAACTTTTCCATTGACACCAAAATGGGTTTCTTTTGAAGAAAGTGCTCAAACTGTCACATATGACAATAGCTGGCAGTTTTCAATTCACCAACGCAATACTTTACGAAGTTGATGCCAACTAATGTTAAGTTAAGTGGTTCTTATCATTTTCTATAGCGGAAGCTTTGGTTTTGTGACTTTTTAGTTGAAAAAAAACGTTAAAACGTTGACAAAACCGCAAAAAGAATAAAATGAAATGAACATAAATGAAAAAAAAGAATTTTCCCACTTGGGAGGTGTACGGTAGTTTTACCATGCTTTAAAACGCCCACCTAGGAGCCCCTCAACTTTTGCCAAATTTACGAATTTTCACAAAACTTTTTCAACGAAGTTTTCAATTCACCAACCCAATAGATTGAGATTAGCCTCGATTTGAGGAGAAGTCAACGTCCAATTTGAGGATTCGGAGCCGGTAAAATTAGTTTAGCAAAGGGAGAAGAAAGGGGGTTATGTAAAAGCCCTGCGCCAGACGACGAGCGATTACGCCGCCGCACAAAATACGGCTGAAAAAATGCCCATCATACAGTAAGGCAGACAGAAAGACAGGCAGAAAGACAGACAGATACCGTAACCCCCCTCCCCCTCATTTTCCGCCATTTCATTTCCCCTACAACTTTTCCATTGACACCAAACGGGTTTCTTTTGAAGAAAGTTCTCAAACTGTGAGATATAACAATAACCGGCAGTTTTCAATTCACCAATCCAATAGATTGAGATTAGCCTTGATTTGAGGAGAAGTCAATGTCCAATTTAAGGAAATCCGATAGATTTAAGATCGAAAATGCTATATTTTCTATAGCATTTTTCAATCAATCAAAAAAATTTCAGAGAAACTTCGTTGCTGATGGTCTCTCGAACAGCGCCTCTAGACGATGACGGTAATCTAAAGAGAAAATTGAGAAAGCTAAAAAAAATGAAACTAATTATCAAGAGAAAACAGAAGTTTAAAGCTCTAAAATCTGTAAAATCTTTTAAATTTTACAGATGGCGCAAAATTTGTCGATTCCGAGCGAAAACTCCCCACCGGACTCTACTCGTTTTTGTGCATTCAGAAAGGGATTTCGGGTGAATTCTTTAGAGAACTTCTCTGAAAGAAAGAAGATCTCTGAAATCAACTTTCTCTGCCCTTCATTATTAAACCTTCATTATTCATTATCAACTTTATTAAACAACTTTCCAGATGATGTTCTAATTTTGGAGTTGGAAAACCCGCAGCATGCTCTGTTGGCAGCCGTAAAAATGGTTCAGGTGAATAGTTTTGTGTGAAAAGAATCTGAAATTTGAAATTTTTTGAATTTTTGAAATTCTGCGATTAAAGAACATAGATTTGATTGATATTTCTGAAAAAAAAACTCTTTAAAAACCTAGATCTATTGCTAAAATACAGTAAACTAGTTGCTAACTTGTTGATCCTTCAAATATCGTTTAGATCTTCAGCGACAATCTTGTTGCCTACTCGCGAAAGCTCTATTCAGAGTCGAGGTGTGATGTCGAGTGCAAAGTGGGTCGCTTTGCTTTGAAATAATCCGTTTTGACTTTCTTAGCTTTGAAATAATCCGTTTTGACTTTCCTAGCTTCAAAACAATCAATTTTGACTTTCTTAGCTTTGAACAATCAGTTTTGAATTTCTTTGCTTCAAAACAATCAGTTTTTGACTTTCTTTGCTTTAAAACAATCAATTTTGACTTTCTTAGCTTTAAAACAATCAGTTTTTGACTTTCTTTGCTTTAAAACAATCAGTTTTGACTTTCTTAGCTTTAAAACAATCTGTTTTGACTTTCTTAGCTTTAAAACAATCTTTTTGGATTTCTTAGCTTTGAACAATCTGTTTTGACTTTCTTAGCTTTGAAACAAGCAGTTTTAACCTTCTTTCCTTCAAAACAATCCGTTTTGACTTTCTTTGCTTCAAAACAATCAGTTTTAACTCTATTTAGTGCCAAAAGGGTTCAAAAACATGTCAATGCCATCGATCGATTCGTGCCGCGAATGGAGTGGATCACGCATTTGAATACATTGAGCAGAATTGGGTTCGATTCGCGGATTGGGAGGTGAAAGGGAATAGATATGCAAATATTCACAAGATGGATAAATCTATCACATAAATATTCAATAAATAGATATTCCATTTCCCATTTAGAGAGTTCAAACGATGATCTCAAAAGGAGAAGCCGAGAAGATCAAGTTGACGATCGAGGCGATATTGAAGAGTTGCAGAGAGGTAGGTTGATGGTAATTCGATGATTTCTTCATTCAAATTTAAAATTGAATGAAATTGAACACAAATTGAACAAAATTCAAAAGGTTGGTGTTCCTAAAGTGCATAGGATTGTCTATATGAAATTAGCACATATTGAGGCTTCTTCAAAAAGTTTTTTCATTCCTTTTCGTACTTCCGTTCCACAACAAAACCAACAAATGCACTAATTGAACTACCCTTTTTTTCATTAAAGCCAATTAAAGCCAAAAGCCAATTATTTTTCTGCAAAATGACATTAAAACGGGTTTAAAATGTCATATGTTTGGATTTTTGGAAGCTCGAAGTCGGGTAGTCAAAAATGCAGCTCGATGATATGATTTAGACACTTTAGCTATGGAAACCTATCTTCCTGTAAATAGATAAAAGATAGAGCATAAGAAAAACGTGAATAAATCCAAAATCATGATTCCTCCACCATTGAATTTGACCATATGATGAAGATACTTGAGTTTATAGCGTGTTCCAACAGGCCGACGAATCATTTGGCCACCATCATCCGGGTTGAACATGTTGATCTTTGTTTCGTCACTCCAGAGAACCCTCTTCCAATCGTCTATCATCCAATGTTTGTACCTCTTCGTGAAGGCCAATCTTAATCGGACGCATATACTTGAGTTTATAGCGTGTTCCAACAGGCCGACGAATCATTTGGCCACCATCATCCGGGTTGAACATGTTGATCTTTGTTTCGTCACTCCAGAGAACCCTCTTCCAATCGTCTATCATCCAATGTTTGTACCTCTTCGTGAAGGCCAATCTTAATCGGACGCATATACTTGAGTTTATAGCGTGTTCTAACAGGCCGACGAATCATTTGACCACCATCATCCGGATTGAATATATTGATCTTCGTCTCATCACTCCATAGTACCTTTTTCCAATCGTCTACCATCCAATGTTTGTACCTCTTTGTGAAGACCAATCTTAATCGACTGTAGGACGCATATACTTGAGTTTATAGCGTGTTCCAACCGGCCGACGAATCATTTAGCCACCATCATCCGGGTTGAACATGTTGATCTCTGTCTCGTCACTCCAGAGAACCCTCTTCCAATCGCCTACCGTCCAATGTTTGTACCTTTTTTTGAAGGCCAATCTTAATCGACTGGACGTATGGACGACTGGACGTACGACTGTAGGACGCATATACCTGAGTTTATAGCGTGTTCCAACAGGCCGACGAATCATTTGACCACCATTTGGACTGAATATATTGATCTTCGTCTCATCACTCCATAGTACCTTCTTCCAATCGTCGATTGTCCAATGTTTGTACCTCTTTGTGAAGGCCAATCTCAATCGCTGATGTCTCAAAACCATTAGAGGCTTTCGTGCTATTCGTTGAGCAAACAAAAGGACCGATTTGAGCCGATTTCGAATTGTTTGAGCGGTCACTTTAAGTTCAAAGAAAGATTAAAGCATCTTGGCACCGTCGATACTCTTCCTGTTTAGACCCTTTGAGAACATCCTGATCAATCATCATCAATCAACGGTCATGTCTGATTGTTGTCTTAGGTTGACCACTTTTTGGATGTCGTTGCACATTTCCCTTCAGTTTTTGTCGTTGGCAAAGCCGGGAGACCGTAGAGCGGTCAACGATAAAGCGATCATAAATGGCTTTCACTTTCATCTCTCCTTGACGGGCTTGAATGATGTTCTCTTTGGTCGGAGTGTCGAAATATCGCTTGCAGGGCATCTAAAAAAATAAATTAACGCACGAAAAACAAAGAGATAAAACAGAAGACAAACAAAAGAAAGTTTACAACAGAATACAACGATGATGCAAGACTTTTTTTGCTTTCTAAACCGGGTGTCTCTAATAAAACTTCTTTTTAACGTCAAAAGAATTTCTTATTGAAAGCAAACCATAGAATAATTGGTGAATTTGGTTTTTTCAAAGGAAAAGAAACGAAAAAAACTTTCTGAGCAATCTATTAATTCAAAATCTCTTCTAGCAATGCGATTGCCTAGCCGATCGATTGATTCAACGAAATTATGGAGAAAAATGCTCGGAGACGGTTCGATTAGCCAAGCAGCTGTGCCTTGACCGACACGAATACACGAAGACTTTGGTAAATTGATTGTGAAAACATTGTGAAAGGCTCATTTCAGAATCCTACAGTGATCTAGATTCGTTTCTCCAAGATAAATGCTGTTTCACATGCGTCAGGAAGGCTGAAAGGCTTTAAAAACTGAGCATGTTTGCTCATTTTGTTATGCAACTTCCTTGTTCTTTGAAACTTGTGTTGGAAAATTGAAACACAGCCTTCCTGAAGCAACATTTGAAGCATATGAAGCAACATTTATCTTGGAGAAACGAATCTAGGCCACTAAATGAGTTATGGAGTTAAAAATCGAACGGGAATTTCAATCTGCAATCAAGGCCCAAGTTAAAACTTGAGCTGTACTTAGGCTGAAATACAGAATTAGTCAAATTGTACAGGGTGACAAGAAATAATCAGTCCTTAAAATTCAACACAACAATAAGTGGTTAAACAAAAGAGAATGACCTTCAGAGAGAAAAAATGTGTTTTTCGAGACGTTTTCATGTTAAATTTGAATCTATGTCACAAACTGTCGCAACAATCTAAAACTAAAAGCAGATCAAAAACTAAAACCCCTGATGAAAACTCTGTCGCAAATTTTAAATGCCAATTTTCGCACGACATCGCATTCCAATTGACGTCACCGCCATTTGGAGCTAGTCGATGGGAGCGCCGCGTCGTCGTTTCTTTTTCATTTTCAAAATCATTTGTTTTTGTCAGATTAATTGAAAGTATTGTTTTACGCGATAGATTTTGTGTTGAAATCAGAAAGCAATCTATTTCCATTTGAGAGCCGAGTGGGGAATCCGGAACTTTTTGTAGCCACAATGAAGGTCAAAACTAACTGTAAGATGATTTGGAGAGTTGAATGGAAACAATGAAAGCAAGGCTCATCCTTTGAACCGTTAAAAAACTAAACTACTTTTGAATATAATATTATTAAACTCTCAGTAGCATAAAACAAACCAACAAACAAAGAATTATCTTACAAATCTTACGAATTATCTTGATAGAGCTAGCTTTATCCTATATTTTTGGCAGCAACTAGAAGCTTGACACTCAAACTCTCTGGAGCCGCAACTATTTTCCCAGAAAAATGCTTTGTTTTCAATTGCTAATTCAATTTTCAATCAATTTTCAAAACTCTCCAATACATTTTACAGTTAGTTTTGGCCTTCATTGTGGCTACGAAAAGTTCCGGATTCTCCACTCGGCTCTCAAATGGAAATAGATTGCTTTCTGATTTCAACACAAAATCTATCGCATAAAACAATACTTTCAATTAATCTGAAAAAAACAAATGATTTGAAAATGAAAAAGAAACGACGACGCGGCGCTCCCATCGACTACCTCCAAATGGCGGTGACGTCAATTGGAATGCGATGTCGTCGGCTCCCAAATGAAAATAGATTGCTTTCTGATTTCAACACAAAATCTATCGCATAAAATAATACTTTCAATTACCGTAATAATTCTAATAGAAGACCATGGTCTTCTAATTTTCAACCCCTTTCCCCAAAGGGTCTTCTATTAGAGACTGGTCTTCTGTTAGAGACTGGTCTTCTAATTTTCAACCCCCTTCCCAAAGGGTCTTCTATTAGAGACTGGTCTTGAATTTGTCAAAGCTTTAGAGAACGATTTTAGGAAGCAACCCTTTTTAAAAACCAGTCACATTTGTATCATCACTTTATTCACTTAGTTAAAGCAACAATTAACAACAATAACAACAAATAATTATTAACATAAAGCATAAAACAATTTGAAAGGAGCAAATCCGTTAAAAAACCTCAATTTAATTTTCATTAATGTCATTGATTTCAATCGAGGCATCGCTTTCGTAATCCTTGTTTTTCTCGTCTTCACCCAAATCAATTTCATCCAATAATTGAGCAACCATCTCATCATTTCGGGCTTGCAACAATTTGGAGGCCGCTTCTGGAACTGCACCGTTGGGCTAAAATAAAAACACTAAATACATTAAAAATCTTATAAAGTAAAAAGCAGCTAAAATTTTACTTACTTTGAAACAGGAGATTTGATCGTCTTCCGATCCATCAATAGCAACCGTAATTCCGCAGGATTTGAATGATCCAGCGATGAGATCCTTATCCAAATCATTCCAAGCATCGGTGATCCATTGTAAGTAGTTGTCCAGATGGAGCTTTGATATACCCCTTTGTGGTTTCCGACCCAGCACACCAATCGTCGGTAGCTCGGTTTGGCCTGAAGGGATGATCAAACAACACGGGCTGAATAAATTTTGTGCACCCCCTGGTACCGCCGAGTCCATTTTAATTGCAAGACCGCCGTCGGCCGAAGGACAGCGAAAGCGCCCAAACCAAGCACGAAAAACAGCATGTCCAAGGTTCCTTGAGAGCGGCCGTCGCGCCATTCATCGTGTTCGCTCCCAGACAAGATTCAAATTACCTCCAAATCGCTTCTGGATGACCGGATCAATTCGTTTCCGTGGCAAAAGAACAAAAGGCTTGCACTTGTAACCGTCGGAGCGCGCCGTAAGCATCACCGAAATTTTTGTCTTTTCATGTCCACTTGATCGAACTGAGACTTCATTTGCTTCTTTTTCATCAACACATTTTCCGCCAATTGGATCAAGGAAGACGGCCGTTTCATCACAAGCGTAAATGTGTGTGTATTTGTTCTCCTTTTGCATCCGATTGAGATACATTACGAAATTGACCAACACACCAGCATATTCGTGGGGAGGCTTCTGACAGATTGACGTTGGAGTTCTCATTGAAAATCCATGACGCTTCATGAACTTTTGAAGCCATCCCAATGAACAATCGACTTTGATATCGTTTTGCTCACAAAAACGCTTTGCTTTTTCTTGGACCAAACGCCTCGAGACCTTGTTTTTCTTCTGTCGTTCGCTTCGGACCCATTCGGCAAGTTCCACGTCGAGTTGCGTATTTGTGAGGGTTCGGCCACCTCCTTTTAACCTCTTGTATGATTTCCCCATCTTTCGCAATCGTTTTTCTTGCGAAATCCATTCGCGAATCATCTTTCTGCTGACTTGAAACTTGGTGCTTGCAACATTCTTTGAGATCGTCTTTGCAAATTCAATTGTTTCTAACTTAAACTCGATCGAATATGCCTTCCGTTTGTTTCCATTCTTGAGCAGTTCCGCTTCGAGAGCCTCCAAAGCATTCTCCGAATCTTGATTCATCTCGTTTTCATTCTCCTTTTCTCGTTCCTTGAAGATTTCAAAGTCGTCTCCTTCATCTTTTCGAATATCTCGATACTCCTCCAGAGAATCCGTGCGAATTGGCAGTCGCTCAGCCATCAGCCCTGACAATAAACACATTATTTATTTTAAGACAAGAAACAAGAATTACAAAAAACACTAGTAGGAAAGAAATAATAACTTTGCACAATGATTTTTACAAGAAAATCTGGGTGGTAGCGGGATACGGTAACATAGTGCATGAGTTAAGAGTTTGGGTCTTCTATTAGAGACTGGTCTTCTAATAGAGACTGGTCTTCTATTAGAATTATTACGGTAATCTGAAAAAACAAATGATTTGAAAATGACAAAGAAACGACGACGCGGCGCTCTCTACTTCCAAATGGCAGCGACGTCAATTGGACGTCAATTGGAATGTGATGTCGCGCGAGAATTGACATTTGCGACATAAATTTAAATTTAACATGAAAACGTCTCGAAAAACACATTTTTTCTCTCTGAAGGTCATTCTCTACTGTTTTTTGTTTAACCACTTATTGTTGTGTTGAATTTTAAGGACTGGTTATTTCTTGTCACCCTGTAGAAGTTGCAGTGCTATATTTTTCATGGTTTATTGCAGGCCTCCTACGTTCGAGATAGGATTGACTCGTTTCACAACTCGGAAATGATCATCAACGCTTTAGAGAAGCTGGTTGAAGTGATCGAGAAAGAGTTTTATCCAAGGAGATCTTTAGTAAGTTTGGAAAATTTGGAAAAAGTTGGCAAAAAAAGCTAAATTTCAAAGCCAAGCCGTTGGCTTTAGCTTTTTTGACTTTTTTTTTTTGCCTTGCTCACAACCATTTAAGAAAATTCTACACAAAATGTGGATTCTATTCGAGACGGAGGTGGCCCGGAATCTCAAAGAGTTCCAAGTGCACGAGTACTATAAAAATATTTATGTAAGCTCTTTATTATTACTATTATTATTTATTTATTAAAATTACTTTGCTACTATTTGTAAAACTTTTAGGTGGCTTTAAAAATCATTCGCGAACTGCTACAGGGCCCCAAGAATCCGTCTCAATTTTGTCGAATCTTACACTTAAAAGTATGCTCATTCTAATCGATTACCGTATCCGATAAAGCTTAGAGTCTCTCAACCGCAGAACTGATCTTGGCCTATTATGTGGCGATGGCTGATATGGAGGATGAGACAGGAGAAGGAAGTACAATCTGTATACAAGCCGCTTTCATTCGAGAGAGGAATGATGAAAGAATCTCGCTTGTTATTAAAGGTTATTTTTATTAAATTATTAAAGGTACAGAAGCGACGCACTTTAGAGAGCCTAGATTGACCAAAATTGAGTTAATCTTTTTGATTTTTCTGGAGATAAATCTTAAGCATGTCTCCTGCGTACCTCGGCTCTCAACTTTGGAAGGTCATATAAAAAAGTTGAAAGCTTGAATCGATTAGATAATGAGCACATACTTAAGAGACATACTTAAGATTTATCTGAAGAAAAATCAAAACGATTGACTCAATTTTGACCAATCTAGGCCCTCTGAAGTGAGGCGTTATGATTGTAAGCCACTCTGTAGAGTGGCTCTGTAGACTGTGCCATTGTTGGTTAAAGTCTAAACTGGCTTTAGAGAATTGAAACCTTGAATTGTAGGGAAGCTACAGTTGGTTCAAGGTGCTTCGAGAAATCCGGAACTTACTTTTTATGTTATCTTGTTATCTGATAGGGAACTTCATTTTCTTCAATCGTTTTTACCAAAACTGTTCAATTGGTGAACTAGAGACTTTTAAAGTTAGCCATTAGTCCAAAATTGATTGCTCAAGTCAGCTTAGGCCTGTCAGCTTAGGCCTGTCAGCTTGTCAGCTTAGGCCTGTCAGCTTAGCCAGTCAGCTTAGGCCAAACCAACTTGTCAGCTTAGGCCTGTCAGCTTAGCCAGTCAGCTTAGGCCAAGCCAGCTTGTCAGCTTAGGCCTGTTAGCTTAGCCAGTCAGCTTAGGCCAAGCCAGCTCACCAACATTCTGACCAACAAGAATATTAGAGTCAAAGAGTTAGAGTCAAAGCCAAAAGTCAGCCAAAAGTCAGGCCTAGCTCTGACTTCTGGCTATTCTGGCTGACTGGAATAGCCTTCCTGGCTTTTTCCAGCTTTGTAAGTATTGCATCCAGCTATGATTGATAATTTTAATGAGATCAGATATTGTCGACGTTGATTCTAAAGACTTTAAATAATATTTATAAAAACTAAAAAACCTTAATGATGTCGAAAAACGGATGAAAATCCAACAAAAAACACATTTTTTGCGCTCTTGAAAGTTTTGAGAGCTAGTTTTGAGAGCTAGTTTACTAGCACAGTTTACAAAAAAGAATTAGAGAGAGACATAGAAAAGAAGAAGAGCTCTTCTATTAGAAGATCCAACTCTTCTATTAGAATGTTTACGATAATTTGTTGACGGAAAGTACCATGATTTGTATTTAGTTCGTGAAGCTCGTATCCCTTGCCCACTCTCGTCCTCTCCTTGTCCTGCCTCACCAAAAGAGCTCTCAATTCAGTTGGATCTTCTCCCGAAAACGATCTTCGTTGACGAGAAATTCCCAGGAATCACCACGAAATTGGTGCCAATTTCGGGAAATCCCAAATGGGGAGACGCTTTCCAAATGTGGGTTTAAAAGAAGAAATGAAAGAATTGACAGAAAAGGAAGAATTGACATAATTTGACATTTTGTCAAATATATCAAGGTTTAAAGAAAATAATGCGCGCTTTTTTGATCAAAACTATTAGGTTGTTCGGATATAAACGAGCATTTGCACTGCTTAACTCGTGAGGAAGCCATTTCCCGTATCTGATCGCCTTTTCAATGGCGTGGAGATGCTCATCAATGGAATTTGAACATAGAAACTGTTGAGCAAGTTCAGCAAGCAAGTTCACACGTCGTTTGAAATGGATCCGATTCGATTGCAGCCCTCTAAATATCGTTGTTTACCGCTTGAGGTCGACGAGAGTGTTCATGATCCTTTCATCACCGTTCCGAAAGCGTTGAAACCAGGCTCGGCACCGACTTTCGAACAGTACATCATACCCAAATGCTTTGACCGAATCTCGATAGGATTCCGCGACTGTTTTGCCCAGTACGACACTGACTTTTACTGATACAATCATCCAAAAGCTTTGACAAGTGAACAGTGAGATTCAGCAAGGGGATTTTCCTTGTTTGAAATCGTAGAGCATGGCAGCTAGAAGCATGGCAGCTAGAAGCATGGCAGCTAGAAGCATGGCAGCTAGAAGCATGGCAACTAGAAGCATGGCAGCTAGAAGCATGGCAGCTAGAAGCATGGCAGCTAGAAGCATGGCAGCTAGAAGCATGGCAGCTAGAAGCATGGCAGCTAGAAGCATGGCAGCTAGAAGCATGGCAGCTAGAAGCATGGCAGCTAGAAGCATGGCAGCTAGAAGCATGGCAGCTAGAAGCATGGCAGCTAGAAGCATGGCAGCTAGAAGCATGGCAGCTAGAAGCATGGCAGCTAGAAGCATGGCAGCTAGAAGCATGGCAGCTAGAAGCATGGCAGCTAGAAGCATGGCAGCTAGAAGCATGGCAGCACTAGGAAATTCAAAGCCCGCATTATTTTCTTTACACCCTGACAAAATCTTTTATCAAAAAAAGCTCCAATTGTTTAGCTCAATTTCTCACGATAACTTTTTCACGAACGGAGCCGTTCTCTCGCTGTCTTTGCTTGAAAAGGACAAAATCGGTTGCGAGAAAGTGGTCGGGAAAGCGTTTTTCGCGTTGAATCAGGTATTTTGAATTTTTTTCTTCTACTACAAATTTTGTGATCAAAATCTTATTCTAGATGCGCGAGCTTTCGACGAGAACGACGACGAAACCGCTTTGTCGGCCGGTTCTTCCACTTCAAGCCGGGAATAATCTCGAGTTTTATCAGGTCTACAAAAGCAAATCCTTGCTTAATTCTTTGTTTTTTTTTCTTACTTGACTTAAGTGCCACTGAAGTGTTGTTCCAAAAAGGCCAGGCCAGGCCAGTCCAGGCCGATCCAGCCCAGGCCAGTCCAGTCCAGTCCAAGCCAGTCCAGTCCAGTCCAGCCCAGACCAGGCCGGTCCAGTCCAGTCCAAGCCAGTCGAGTCCAGTCCAGCCCAGGCCAGGCCAGTCCAGGCCAGTCCAGCCCAGGCCAGACAAGTCCTGAAATAAAGTCTAAAACCCATCTTTCAACTATTCATGCGGCTTTAAAGTTACGCAAGCCAGCAGTTGTCAGCTAGCAATTGTCAGCTAGCAATTGTCAGCGAGCAATTGTAAGCCAGCAATTGCCAGCCAGCATTGCCAGCCAGCAATTGTCAGCCAGCAATTGTCAGCCAGCAATTGTCAGCCAGCATTGCCAGCAATTACCAGCCAGCATTGCCAGCAATTGCCAGTCAGCAATTGCCAGAAAAATCAAATTGCTAGTTGGATAACGAATCGATTTCTGATCCAGGTTATCCGAGAACGCGTCCTCTTCGACAAAGTGGCGCGTCTATTTTGGAAACGAGAAAGAGCTCAAAAAGATGTTCACATAAATCTCAAACAGTTGAGAGAAGTGAGTTAAGATTTAAAATGAAATTTTCAAAATGTTTGATTAGAGATTTTCCCACAAACAAGCGATATCCTTTGACTGATTTGATCTGTTTACTCATGATCTTGGGTCAATCTAGCAGAAGTTGTAGGAAATTGTATTTTTTAAGTTTTTAATAGTTTGGTAATCGGAATTTAAACATATAGCCTTTGGTTATTTTTATTTTCTTTTTAAAAGGGATCTTTTAAAAGTATTTTGAAGTTTTCGGGTTTTTTTTTAAAGGAGTCGTCACACTTTCAAGGCCTATAACTTTGTCCAGAGATTATATTTTGATTAGCTTTTTATATCATTGTACAGAGGACATTTCAGGCTTTCAAATACTACCAAATAGAGCTTGATTGATCCAAGAAATTAGAGAATCCAGTCCAAGAAAATCAGAGCCAACTTTGAGCAAGATCTTGAACAGGTCGCCACGCTTTGAAGACCTATAACTTTGTCCAGAAATCATATTATTCCTAACCTTTTATATCGTTGAATAGAGGGCATTTCAGGCTTTCAAATGATACCAAATAGAGCTTGATTGGCTGATCCAGTGCAGCAAATCAAAGTCAACTTTGAGCTAACAAAGCTGATCCAACTCTAGTGCAGTGTTATCTAATTTGCATGGAACTGAAAAGTCCAATCAAGCTCTATTTGGTATCATTTGAAAGCCTAAAATGTTCTCTATACAATGGTATAAAGGGCTAGCAAAAATATTATTTCTGGACAAAGTTATAGGCTGTCAAAGTGTGACGACTCCTTCAAAATATCCAGAAGTTCTCTTTCTCTTTCTGGTCAAATTTATTACAGTTTTTCTTGCTTATCTTACAAAATATTACAAAATATTCCAATATATTCCAATAAATTCCAATAAATTCCAATATATTCCAATATATTCCAATATAATACAAAATTTCAGGTGCCCCGTCGATGGGGTTCTCTTCGTCGCTTCAAATCGGAGCGTTTCGGGAGTCCTCGGATTTCATTCAGTATTTACCGACCGCAAAGAACCGTTTCAACAATATGACAATAATGATATTTATTAAAAAGATATTTATTAATAAACCGCATTGAAGAAATACCACGTAGCGATGATTGAAATCGGTAAAAAAAAATGAATACTTTTAACGGTTCAAGATCAAATCCTTTGCGATTTGCTTCGGTCCAGGGATGTTCAACGTTTTTTCCGCCTGAAAAAGGTTATAATTTGGAATTTTGTTTTCAAAATCTACCCTTTCTCATGCACTTAGCTCAAATTTTATTGCGGTTCTTGGTTTCTCTAGAAAATTGAGAATTCAGTGCCGAATTCAATGCCGAAGTCAGTGCCGGAAAGGTTTAAGGAAAGGGAGTTTAAGTTTGCTGAGTACAAAGTACATTGCAAAAATGGCTGTGATCAAAAGATGTTTCATCCTAGGCTTGTAAGCCAGTCTAGGCAAGGTTCAACCTTGGTCAGGAGCCTGGATCCAACCCTGGTCAGGAGCCTGGATCCAACCCTGGTCAGGAACCTGGGTCTAACCTTGGTCAGGAGCCTCGATCCAACCCTGGTCAGGAGCCTGGATCCAACCCTGGTCAGGAACCTGGGTCTAACCTTGGTCAGGAGCCTGGATCCAACCTTGGCCAGGAGCCTGGATCCAACCCTGGTCAGGAGCCTGGGTCCAATCCTGGTCAGGAGCCTGGATCCAACCTTGGTCAGGAGCCTGGATCCAACCCTGGTCAGGAACCTGGGTCTAACCTTGGTCAGGAGCCTGGGTCCAATCCTGGTCAGGAGCCTGGATCCAACCTTGGTCAGGAGCCTGGGTCCAACCCTGGACTTGTTGAACAGAGAAAGACTTGGCGAATCTAATGATACCAAAAAAATTTAAATTGGACAGCCCAACACCGAGATATTTGAGCTCAAAGTTAGATTGCTAATTGCAAAAGGGGCGGACCGTGTATAAAAGGTCGCCCTGCCCCTTTTCCCCTTGGTTAACTTTGAGCTCAAATATCTCGGCTTTGGGTTGCCCAATTGAAATAGTTTTTGTACCAATCGACATAGAAAGACTTGGCGAATCTAATGATACCAAAAGATTTAAATTGGACAACCCAACACAAAGATATTTGAGCTCAAAGCTGGATTGCCAATGGCAGAAGGGACGGACGTGTAGCAAAGTTATTTATGTATTTGAGCACAAATTAAAGAGCCGGTCATTGAGTAGACTTTTTCAAAGTCTTTTTTAAAGCTTTAAAGCTCTCTTAAACATTTCCCCACTCACAATGCGTCCCAGACTTTGCAAGGTGACACAAACAGAGAAAAGATCTCGACCATCAAAGAGGTCCACTGATTGGAAAGTCGCTTCGTCTTTCACTCCGATCTTCCGAGCCGCCGTGCAAAACTGAAATTAATGATCGGTATTTGAACTTTCACAGGTTTGTTTTTTTGAAGCAATCAAACTTTTCTCTAAGCAATCAAGTCTTGAGATTTGATCAAGAGTTGAAAGTTTGCGTTGAATGACGTGAGAAAGTATAGTCTGCTTGTCTGCTTGAATTGAATGTACTTCTTCTCAAATCTATACTTGCGCTTTCTGTGCACTTGGTACTCCATTTTACTCTTTATTTCAAACTTTTGCTACAAGAAAACAAGAATCTCGTGCGCCAGGAGGGTTGTGTTTACAGATTTAAACATAAAGTACAACTGGTGCTTAACCAAAACTAGTAAGTTTTGATCTTACTCTTCCTCTTACTCTTCCTTTCTTCTTCTCCCTTGTCTTTCTCTTTTTCAAAGGAAGTCAGTGGCTCAGTGGTTAGAGCTCAGTGGTTAGAGCAATAGCAAGTGGAAAGCAAGAGATCGAGGGTTCAATCCCTTTTCGGAAACCTACTATTTCTTGCTAATTCCTTTACTTCTTTATTTAGAGCTTGTACCTGATTGATATTTTCGAGACAGTTGAAGTTCGAGATCGGCTTCATGATTTTCTTGATCGTTCCCGGTTTCATTCCGTTAATCACTCTGAATTTATCGTTTGTTAACGCCATTTAAAGCTATTGCCATTGTCATTTTGAAATTCTGACATATCCAGTACTTTTATCTTTCACAATAGGAGGTCAGCTGGCTGAGCCGGTTAAATGCTATGCGAAAAAAGTAAAAGAAAAATCCGAGGTGGGGGTCGAACTTGCGAGGTCTCGCTCTGGAAACGCACGCTCTGCCACTCGGCCATGGCTGCATCGAAACGGGTCTGCAAGGTGGCTGTTAAGAGGCAAGGAGGCTGTTAAGACGCAAGGAGGTTGTTAAGAGGCAAGGAGGTTGTTAAGAGAAAGGGGGCAAGAGGCAATGGGCGAAGGGCAAGGAGGCCAAGGGATGGGCGAGGCAGGAGGCGAGGGCAGGGGGGCTAGAGGCAAGGGAGGGAAGGGTGTAGGGGGGGTGTGGCAAGGAGGCTGTTAAGAGGCAAGGAGGCTGTTAAGAGGCAAGGAGGCCGCTAAGAGGCAAGGAGGCCGTTAAGACGCAAGGAGGTCGTTAAGACGCAAGGAGGCCGTTAAGACGCAAGGAGGCCGTCAAGACCCAAATGACCACATTTTCAGGGTCCTAACAAAACGCTTATAACTCCTGATTGCTTATAACTTTAAACGCTTATAACTCCTGATCAATTGTCATTTAGCAAAAACGGAAAACAGATTCGGAATCAGCATAAAATTCTGCGTCGAATGGTATAGGCCACATAGCATTTAGCTAAGCCAATTCACTTTCCCTTGCGCCAGAAAAACTCTTGTTATTTTGCACTAACTATTTGTTTTGAAGTTTACTGTAGATTTATCACAAACTTGCAAAGAACTTGTCCGTCTTTCAGTCGCTCCAAGAAGTTGTCCTTTCGTCCGTTTGTGTCCATCTCCTCACCGGCCAACCCGGCGCACCATTCGAGCAAGAGTTGAGCCTCGGCCTCGTTGAATTTCCCGGCCTGAAATTTATAGATGAAAAAAAGGGAATTATAAGGTAAAATTTGAAAGTTCAGATTTAATTTGATATAGATTAGGCAAAAGGGTTGAAGATGGGGATTGGATATGAAGCTGTGCATAAAACAATGGACAAGAACAAGAACAACATTCAATTCAAGAATTCTTGTTCAATTCTTGTTCAATCAACTAAGAATCCAACTAAGAATCCAACTAAGAATCCAACTAAGAATTCAAGACTGCATTGTCACTGCGGGGGTTCGAACCCGGATCGTGCGGGCTCTAGAAATACTTATTTTCATGTACTTTGCTAAATTGGTTAGAAGATATTCAATAGAAAGCACTCCTTTAGGCGATTAATTATTTTTTATTATCTGATTTGAAATCAAAAATGTAATTTGAAACCAAAAATAAAGAAATCAAGACCACGTGGGACTAAGGGAGGTCGAACCCGGGTTGTGTGGGTTGTAGAAATACTCGCTCCCCACTGCACCAAACGACCATGCATTTCTCCCAAAAAATTTAGCCACAAAAACCCGTCGTTCAACGTTAGGAGGCTCTTTAGCTAAATTTTTTGGCCTTTGGGGTTTGGAGGGTTTTTGTGGCTAAATTTTTGGGGGAAAGGCATGGCCGCCATGGCGCAGTCGGGAACGGGCTTTTCTACCGCCCACACGATCCGGGTTCGAGCCTTCGTAGTCTCAGTTTTCTAATTTTTTCTTTTATATGACATAACGATATTATATAGCCTGTACAGATAGACGGACAGACAGACAGACGGACAGACATTTCTCTTTTATATATAGTAGATAAACAGATGTAGTTATCACTTATATGTTACCCCACCTGTTTATCAAGAACAGCGGCCGCCAATCCGTGAGGTCGTGGACGATGGTAGTCTTGTGACATGGCTGAATCGAACAATTTTAAGACTTACACCAGTAAGTAAACTAAATTAACTTGAAGATATTATAAGTTACAGTATAAGTCTGCAATGAAAATGTTTAGTTGACTGAAATTGAGCTGAATTAGCTTTAAAAAGCCTGGAAAACTGAAAAATAGCCTTGAAAAACGGTAATTTCTATGAAAAGTACTACATTTTCCATGAAAAGTACTACATTTTCTAACAATATATAGTATTTTATTTTGATTTAAATGTAATTTTAAATGTTTAAAGATGTTTAAAGAGTTTAAAGATGTTTAAAGATGTTTAAAGAGTTTAAGGAGTAAAAAGGCTATAGTATTTTGATTATTATATTAAATATATCCAATAGAAAGGCTTTAAGCTTCGAACTATTGAATGAATCTTGAAATGAGCCACTGAATACACAGAATAGGAGAGGTTAAGGGGTAATGTTTGAAATTTAAAGCAATCATTGAAAGAGGAAAAGGAAGGGAAAAGTGAAAGTGGATGGGATTCTTGAAATCTCTATTTACATCTCTATTTACATATCTATTTACATATCTATTTACATCCGTCTCAATCCCCCGGTCAGTCATCAACGTGAAGAAGAGACTGGGAGACTGGGAGACTGGGTTGCGATTTGCGAATCCCGAAAACTATTGATTGGATACAGTAATTGCACTGTAATCGATAGAATTTTGTAATTCTTGGGCACTATAATAGTTGCTTGAATACTAAGCACAATAATCGTTTGGACAATAAACGATAAAACCGTAGATTGCTAAATTGATATAGACATAGACAACTAAACAAATGGAAAAGGTTGCTAAATTGATTGGGTAATTGCTAGTAAGTGATGGTTGAGAAGTAAGTGCATAAAGATTTCAAATCTAAGCTTCTCTGAATCTCATCGTTTTCGCAAAATGATGAATATGACGTCATTTTTCCATCGCTTTGACAAAATGATGTCATTTCCATTATCGCTTTGACAAAATGACGTCATTTTCTTCATCGTTTTGACAAAATGATGCCATTTTCATTATTGTTTTGATAAAATGACGTCATCTTTCCATCGTTTTGTGAAAATGATGTCATTTTCATTATCGCTTTGACAAAATGATGTCATTTTCATTATCGCTTTGACAAAATGATGTCATTTCTCCATCGCTTTGATAAAATGATGTCATTTGCATTATCGTTTTGGCAAAATGACGTCATCTTTCCAACGTTTTGTGAAAATGATGTCATTTTCATTATCGCTTTGACAAAAGATGTCATTTCTCTTATCGCTTTGACAAAACGATGTCATTTCTCCATCGCTTTGACAAAATGATGTCATTTTTATCATTTTGCCAAAACGATTCGAAATTCGAAAAAGCTTAAAAGTACTTGCATTTGAAATTCTTATCTTACAGTAACTTTTAAAAGCATAACTTTTAGAAATCAAAAGATCAGTGAACATTTTTGTCATAATTGGCAGTATCTCTTCTCTAAATAATCAATTTTTCCTCTACTTTCATCTGTTTTGGTTTTTGATTTTTTATAAGAATTTTATCAAATCAGATTCCATTTGATTCAGTTCAAATCATAAAAGATATCAAACTATCTAAAAAGTAGAAAGATTGGATTGGAAACCAGATTGGAAACCAGATTGGAAACCAGATTGGAAACCAGGTTGGAAACCAGCCAAGATTACGGTAGTTTTGGCATGTTTTGGAAAAGAAAAGTCTTTTAAATGGATTAGATAAGAAAAGGAGAAGAAAAGGAGAAGAAAAAGGAGAAGAAAAAGGAGAAGAAAAGGAGAAGAAGAGGAGAAGAAGAGGAGAAGAAAAAGGAGAAGAAGAGGAGAAGAAAAAGGAGAAGAAAAAGGAGAAGAAGAGGAGAAGAAGAGGAGAAGAAGAGGAGAAGAAGAGGAGAAGAAAAAGGAGAAGAAAAAGAAGAAGAAAAGGAGAAGAAAAAGGAGAAGGAGAAGAAAAGGAAAAGAAAAGGAAAAGAAAAGGAAAAGAAAATGAAAAGGAAACGAAAAGAAACGAAAAAAAACGCTTTCTAGAAAAGAGAACAATTATTTTAAAGATTGATTACGATAAAAAGCACTTATAGTCAGATATCGCTGAATAATTGATTGAGTTTCATCAATAAAATTTCAGCTTTTATCCACCAATTAGTGTTAATCATCGGCTATTCGAGAAAAACGTTTCCCATCAGTCAATGTTGACTGTGAGTGGGTGAATAGACAACTAAACAAATGGAAAAGATTTCTCAAAAAGCTCAAGAAGCCCAATGAATGAGTCATTTTTATCCTCCAAACGGATCTCAATATTTATCGAGATTTTGAAGGATTGAAGTGTTTGGGAAAGGATTTCGAAAGTTGAGATTTTCGAATTTTTGAATGAAAACCGAAAAAATGAAAAAATAGGCCAGATGGCCGACCGGTTAGAAGTCTTGTCTTTTAAGCGGAAGGTCGAGGGTTCAATCACGCTGGCAAGATAAAAATGTTTCTTTTTCCCACCAAGTGGGTTTTTTCTTTCACAACATTTGGGTAATAGGGATAAAAGGGGTAACGGCCGCAGTGCCATAAAAATTGTGTATTTAGACCGTTATATCTTATTATGTATCCTTTGTTTGTATCACATTATTGGCTTTCAATAAATGTATTTTTAAAAAACGGTCGCTTTACCACTATACAATTGATCGATTGATGCAAAGATTGATTACGATAAAAAGCACTTATAGAATTTGTTCCGAACTCTTGAAAGCGTTTGATTGAGTTGATTGAGTTGTAAACAAGTTGTTTAAGCATCATCAATCGCTTAGAGATATCCATCGCCAGAACTTTTGTAATGAAAAGTACTTTGCGTTGTACTATGCGTTGTACTTTGCATTGTACTATGCGTTGTACTTTGCGTTGTACATTGCGTTGTACATTGTGTTGTACCTTGCGTTGTACTATGCGTTGTACTATGCGTTGTACTTTGCGTTGTACATTGCGTTGTACATTGCGTTGTACTTTGCATTGTACTTTGCATTGTACTTTGTGTTGTACATTGCGTTGTACATGGTGTTGTACTTTGTGTTGTACATTGCGTTGTACATTGCGTTGTACTTTGTGTTGTACTTTGTGTTGTACTTTGTGTTGTACTTTGTGTTGTACTTTGCATTGTACTTTGCATTGTACTTTGCGTTGTACATTGCGTTGTACATTGTGTTGTACTTTGTGTTGTACATTCCGTTGTACATTGCGTTGTACTTTGTGTTGTACATTGCGTTGTACTTTGTGTTGTACTTTGTGTTGTACTTTGCATTGTACTATGCGTTGTACTTTGCATTGTACTTTGCGTTGTACTTTGCGTTGTACATTGCGTTGTACATTGTGTTGTACTTTGTGTTGTACATTCCGTTGTACATTGCGTTGTACTTTGTGTTGTACATTGCGTTGTACTTTGCATTGTACTTTGCATTGTACTTTGCATTGTACTTTGCATTGTACTTTGCGTTGTACTATGCGTTGTACTTTGCATTGTACTTTGCGTTGTACTTTTTGTCTAGAAATGTAAACGTATCATTTCTTAAATTATATTTAAAATCTTTGTTTTCTTGTATACAAAGAGTTAAAGAGAAATGCGCCAAAAAAAACTTTTTTTTGCCTAAAGTACAAATAAAGCTCACCTCAATATATTTAAAAGTGTTTAAATAGAAAAATGGAAAGTTTTTTGTTTGAATTCAAGTTTGAAACTGGTCAGATTTCGTTATTTTCTTTATAAAAGGTTTCTTTTTTTACTTTAAAAGGCCGGCTATTTTGAATTTGAATTTGAATTTGAATTTGAAAGAGAGCAAAGAGATTTGAATTTTCTCAGCTAGTCAGTATAAAGTTTAAAACCATATCGGCTAGCCGAAAAGGATAAACCTTTTAGTCGATTTAAAATTTAGCTAGTTGGTTCAAAATTTAGCTAGTCGATTTAAAATTTAACTAGTCCGTTTAAAATTTAGCTAGTTGGTCCAAAATTTAGCTAGTTGGTTCAAAATTTAGCTAGTCCGTTTAAAATTTTGCTAGTCAGTTCAAAATTTCAAATACTGGCCATCAGAAGAAATGTCTTTTATGCCTTTTTTGGGTTTCCTTTTTGGAGAATCCAATGACATAACAAGGGAGAATCCAATGACATAACTTTACAATAGGCTAAACTCACCAACACATCGCTCATCAGGCGAACCCAACTCATGACAAGCGCACTCCTTCACGTGACAGCTCAACTCATCGATCTTGAGCATTTCTAAATCTAGAATCAATTTGGATATGGTATAGATAAGAGTTGTGATGTTGAAAAAAACAGAAAAAGAGAAAAAGGTCAAATTTTGTCATTTTTTTGAATCTAGAATCAATTTGTGAAACAAGTGAATCAATAAAGTTTTAGTTTTAAGTTCAATTGGTAGCCGGTAGCCGGTAGCCAGCTAGTAGCCAATTTTTGCAATAATCTAGTAGAAAAAGCTTTTTTCTAACAATTTCCGATGACTTGTCATCTAATATATTAACGAAAATGAAGTGGGCGATGAGGGAAAATCGAGAGATGGATTTCTTTTCTTTCAATAGATTCAATAGAGATTCAATAGAGAGAACTCGACCCTTACCCACTCAAACTTTTTTTTTTGAGTGAAATGGAAGGATTTGAGAGGAGTGAGGGAAAGAGAAAAGAGAAAAAAACTCTTCTAAATGATCAATAGAGACTTGATCGATCAAGACACGAGTCATCGTGATAAGCGGGGGTGGGAATGGATGAGTTGGACACGCTGGTTCTTTTAACGGTTGAGGCTGGGAAGACAAAAGGTGGTCAGTGCTGGGATTCGAGCTTACCGGGCGAACGCTTTGAGCTACCGTTGCTGTTACTGCTACCGCCAAGATAGGGCCTTATGGCTTAGTCCTTCTCCCATCAGTTAGACAACTGATGGGAGAAGGACGAGTTGAGACAGTTAGACAACTGATGGGAGGAGGACGAGTTGAGCTTGAGTTGGGTTTAGCCATCACTAGAGGTGGTGACGGTTGGCAGCTTGCGAAGATCCAAGACCTAAAGTCTAATGTTGAAAGAGAGAAATGCTATAAGTCACTTACTAGATAGGCTATAAATCATTTACTAGACAAAGGCTATAAGCCAAAGTGGAGCAGTGGAGCTATGGAGATGTGGAGCTATGGAGATGTGGAGCTGTGGAGCTGTGGAGCTGTGGAGATGTGAAGCTGTGGAGATGTGGAGCTGTGGAGCTGTGGAGCTGTGGAGCTGTGGAGCTGTGGAGATAAGCTGAGGAAGTAAAGAACGAGCCATCTTAAGCTTCATCACCATTACATCAATAACAGATTCTACAAAAATCCAATAAGTCTAATGTTGCAGTCTAACTTTGCACATTGCCAAGCCAAAATCACATTGCCAAGGTAACTCTATCTATAGATTGCTTCTAGCAAACTTAATTGTCGCCAATGTTTGTATATTATATTAGTAATATAAAACTAATTTTAGTAATATAAAAACTTCAAAAAGATTATATTAACTCCGGAAATCGACTTTTTATTGCGAATTCCATCACTTTTTTATTACTAATAAACGTGGTTCTGATTTTCAAGTAGGATGGGAGCCCGGGTATTTCTTTCTTTCTTTCTTTCTTTCTTCTTCTTTCTTTCTTCCTTTCTTCTTTCCCCTTGTCTTTCCCTCTTGTTTTCTCTTGTTAAGTTAAGGTACCGGATAGATCAGTGGTTAGAGCAATTGCTTGGAAAGCCAAAAGTTCAATCCCTCTCTACTTTTCTTCCCAATTCCTTTACTTCTTTATTACTACACCTACCTGTCGACAATTTGATTTTAATGAGAATCGATTCTAAGTCTGATCTCTTTAAAGCTTATGAGTGCCCAACGCTATCTAGGGCCAAAATAGGCCAAGATAGACAAAAATAGGCCAAGATAGGCCAAGATAGGCCAGGTTAGGCCAGGATACGTCAAGATAGGCCAAGATAGGCAAAAATAGGCCAAGATAGGCCAATATAGACCAGGATAGGCTAAAAAGCCAGGATAGGCTAAAATAGGCCAAGATAGGCAAAATAGCAAGTAGGCAATAGGCCAAGATAGGCAAAAGGCAGATAGGCTAAAATAGGCCAAGATAGGCTAATATAGGCCAGGATAGGCTAAAATAGGCCAAGATAGGCTAAAATAGGTCAAGATAGGCTAAAATAGGCCAAGATAGGCCAAGATAGGTCAAGATAGGCTAAGATTTTCCGTTGAACACCTGTTTACACCGAAAATTCCCAGGTCTAATCTAGCGTGTGTTCTTCACAAGTAATGCGCTTTCACCTAGTTAAACTATCGTAGTTAAACCGTCAATTTACAGCCAAGCAACCCGATTTTAATATCATTCGATGAGGAATCACAAGGCTCAGTCAATGATACTAAAATTTAGCTGATTGAATGTAAACTAGTTTGATTACGGTAGTTTTCTTAAATAGTTACCTTTTAGAAAACGCTTTACTCGTGGAACTAACGCTATCAGTTGGCCGATGTCTAGCTCTAACGTCTAACGTTTAACGCTCTAATGGTACGCTCTAATGGTACGCTCCAAATTTCATGTCAGTGTTCAGTTTCTGTGCCTCGAAGATGGATAGACTTAGGCACTCATAAGCTTTATCGTTCTCATTGTTTTCCATATTTCCCGTTGTATAGACACACGTCCGAGAAAGGGAGAATGCGGTGGAAAAGGGAATCGAAAAGAGAAAGGACACATTGTTTGACCTCCTCTGCCCACATCGTTGTCCTTTTTCTTCTTCTTCTTCTTCTCCTTCTTCTTCTTCTCATTCTCATGGTTTTGCCTCTCCTCCGGGGTTCTAATGTATGCATAGAGAAGGGGTAGAGCTGGACAAGGCCCAAACCCCACTGACCCTTGCCTTTTTCCAGTTTTCAGTGTTTTCTTGGCCTTGGCTTTTCCCCACTCACTAAAGCTCTGAATTCGATATGAGTGATACTGCCTTATAGTGATATTTGGGAGAATGGTTACCTCTCTTTTATTTTTCAAATTTATTCGGCCTTTTCTTTGACCTTTGCTTTCACAACTTTCTTTTTTTCAATTTATAGTAAGCTTTGAAATCGTTTATTCAAAAGGGATAAGAAAATCTAAGACTGAAAATCTAAGGGATAAGAAATCCAAATCTAAGAAATAAAAAAGATCTAAATTGGATTATTCTAAAGAAAAGAAGCCAGATTTTGACCTAATCTGATTTGCAGATTTGACCCACAAAAAGCTGAGCTCTTAGAAAATAGGCCTGGCTTACCTGGCCTGGCTTAACTGTAAGTTAGGCCTGGCTTACCTGGCCTAACTTTACAGGCGAAAGTGAACAACTCTGAATCAAACTTTCTTTCTTTGCTTAGCTCTTGGCTACAATGTACTTATGTAAGCCAATAATTGCACAATGTTTAAAAAATTGTCTTTAAAAACATCCTTGGTGAAAAGAGGCATAAGTTCTTTACTGAAATTTACTGTTTAACTGTTTAACTGCTTAATTGCTTAACTGTTTAACTGCTTAACTGCTTAACTCTTTAACTCTTTAACTGTTTAACAATTTAACTGCTTAACTCTTTAACTGCTTAGCGGTTTAACTCTTTAACTGTTTAACTGTTTAACTCTTTAACTGTTTAACTGCTTAACTGTTTAACTGTTTAACTCTTTAACTGTTTAACTGTTTAACTGTTTAACTGTTTAACTCTTTAACTGTTTAACTGCTTAACTGTTTAACTCTTTAACTGTTTAACTGCTTAACTGTTTAACTGTCTAACTCTTTAACTGTTTAACTGTTTAACTCTTTAACTGTTTAACTGCTTAACTGCTTAACTGTTTAACTCTTTAACTCTTTAACTGCTTAACTCTTTAACTCTTTAACTTTAACATTCTTAACAGATACTAAAGTCTATATAAACCTCTTTAACGAAAAGTTTCACCACAAAGTTTCACCAATCTCACCACAAAATCAACTATCATTGAAATTCAAAAGCTACACCCAGCATTGATGTCATCAATTCGCGCGCAACGAATCAAATTTGCTAAAATTTTTGCCTTCTTCTTTTTGAAAGAGTTTCTCTAGTAAAATCTCTGTCTAACAGGGATAAAGAAAGCAAAAAGAGAACGAAGGGAAAGCTTTTTAAGGGAAAAAAATGAGGGAAAGAGTAGAGATCGATATTCTACCACTAGATTCCAACATCGTTCAAATTTTTGGCTATTTTAAAGATATTCAGTTAATCAAAAGCATCTTATGCTTCATTTTTTTGCACTTTCGCTTCATCTAATTGCCAGATTTCTTTTTAATTTATAAAATGAATATTTCAACTCAGCTTATCGGGATTTAGCTTGAGATATACGAAACGATATTCAGCTTAGGTGGATTTAGCATGACATTAATCGTTGTAATCTCTAGAATTTAGCATTGAATTGTCTAAATCTTATACAATTTTATCATTTTTAGCTTTAGATTTACTTTTTAAGCTGAAATCTAAGCATTTTATTCTTGAAAAGTCAAAAATAATCCTATTTTAATAAGCTTTAATGGCTTTATTGACTCTGATTTAAATATCTATTTGATTTACTTGACAATTATTGTTTAACTATTGACAATTTATTAGATTTTAGCACAATTTAACATATCCACGACACTACGCTGTACTAATGACGATTATTTTTTGATGTTTACTTAGTTTTTTAAGAATTTTCTTATTTATTTTGCAAAAAGTTCCAATTTTGTACTAGTTTTCAAGAGAAAATTCAACGCTATCGAATGACTATAAACCTTTTGTTTATCTTTGAATTTACACAAAATTAGCAGTAAAACAAAACGACTACACGGCTGTACGTAAAACACCGTCGCAAACTGTTCTAGCCACTGACTTACTTGACAATATTAACCTTTTAGTTTAACAATTCGTCGACTGTGACTCGTACGGTCTCAATACGGTTTGAATACGATTCCAATACGATTCCAATACGGTTCCAATATGATTCCAATACGATTCCAATACAATTCCAATACGATTCCAATACGATTCCAATACGATTCCAATACGGTTCCAATATGATTCCAATACGATTCCAATACGGTTCCAATACGATTCCAATACGATTCCAATACAATTCCAATACGATTCCAATACAATTCCAATACGATTCCAATACGATTTCAATACGATTCCAATACAATTCCAATACGGTTCGAATACGGTTCCAATACGGTTCCAATATGATTCCAATACAATTCC